GAGTTTTTTAACAACTCAGAAACACAACTAATGCGTCTCACTGCGTTTGCGAATAATCACGTTCAGTAACAGTAAGCTTGCGTTAAGCACAGGTCAATGTTCTACCTTCTCGCTCCAAAACTGCATCATTAATTATTACAGAATGCACACAAGAAGAGTAATTTTGAAGAAGAGAACCACTTTGAAGGAACTTTAGTAGATTTCGTGGGAATGACTCACGTTCTCATACCGTTTGAATGAATTGGATGTCAAGATCTGAAATAAACAACAAGAAAAAATTAGATATGAAACGGGAATATTATCGAAGAGCATCCACTAATGAACGTAGTTTTGTAATGTTTTTCGGAGATGGTGCGTCTGTCAGAAGAGTTAGTCGCTGCTGACCATGTTAAGGTCAAACTATCGTAAGACGATTGAACGACGAAGTTCACAAAGAACCGTAATTTTCATTGTACTTTGTTTCCTTATTAGTATGTTGTACCTTTTTGTCCCTTTAGTATAAGGAAAGACCACCAGACGCTGCTAAACATTATAAGCTGTCAGAAGAGTGTTTACCAACGACAAACTCGTTGGGTTTAAACTTCTGGCTGGCCACGTCCTAGGGGCATCACTACCTCACTAGGCGAGGAGTGATCTGTAGCTGTAAATAATTCTCGAAAATCAATAGCTCATTACGTGTTCGATAATGGATGCTGACCACATCGTTTTAAGTGGACTTGTTTAACTGAAGGCTTTCGGTCATGCATCCGCACCAGATCACGTTTCGACCCAGCGTGGGACACAGCTCCTACGTTCACTAGCCAGATTAGAGTAAACGCTTCTCGATATATTGATAACGCATAAAATATATCTTTCCTACCTCTTCGCCTCTGACTTTTGATTTCAACTGGATGGGAAACGATTTGAATATAGGTGTTACTGGTAGCTAGTTGTAAACATAGATAGCCAGTCGTATCTTCAAGGTGATTTGATATCTAATCGTTTGAGCTTACCGATAAGACATGTATGGCTGACCACGTCAGAAGCTCATGAGAAGTCAGGGTATATGACATCAACCTTCCTCCTTGCTATCAAGGATTGCTCTCCATCTGTCTATTGAGGTCAGCAGGTTGGTTACACAGGAATGACCATTTTTAAAACCGTGTTTTTGGGGAGCAAAGAAGTTTGTGGATAGTAAGCAGTCAAGTGCGATGTCGCATATCAGGGACTCCATGACATTTTAGGTAATGAGAGGAGTGTTACAGATCGACCCTTTTTGAAAATTGGTGCAATGAGAGTCAGCTTCCAACTTTCTAGTAACGTGTCTCGGCTTAGAGAATTTGAGGACACAACGCTAAACGGTGTTGCCAAGATTGAAGTTGCTTCCCCAGTAAAGCAGAATGGACCATATTCGAACCCGGAGAAGTGTCCTTGCTTGGGTGCCGCAGTTTCTGATACATCAAGTGGTAGCTCGGGTTCACTCCTAGTTGTCCGTTTGAGATGCAGGTCGAGCTCTCGTCGATGTAGTTAACATGGAAAGGTTGAGATGTCTGAAAGTAATGTTCCGAGTCACCGTCTCTGTCAGTCGGGCCATTATGACTCAAAAACTGGGGAACTCCGGTTTGGCTTGTCAAATAAAAGCTGCATGACGGAATGAGCTTTCCGGATTTGCGAAGAATTTATTGACTGACTTTATCTAACACTAAAGTCTGTCTTCTCTCACTGCCTTCGTGCATTGTTTCCTTGTTTGTTTGCACTATCTACATGTGCTGCTGTTGCCAGTTCGTTTACATTCTGCCCAGTAGTGGCTTTCGCGTCTTACCAATCAAAGGGTGCGATTCTTGATGACTGTAGGTTCTTTGTAACTTTCGGGGACTGCTTTCTGGACAGACCGTTCCGTAATACATAGGATCCTGTGCAGTAAGAAATGCCATTGAGCGTTCACGTCAAGTTGGGGGTGGACTTCCTAGTCCACCTATTGTAGATTGATCTGTGCAGCTGACACATACAACCGTTTGTGGTTCCAAAGCTGTTGCTAGTAGTACGTCTTAGCTCAGTTTTGCTGACAAAGATGGGGCTCCTTGTCCAACGATCGCTCTTTTAAATTAAAGGTATAATGGTTATGGGGACCAAGAGATATACACTTACCTCGACATATTAGATCTTAGTCATGTGTGACCACACGGCAAAAATCCAGATTGGTAGTTGCCTTATTTAGATCTAAGGCATAAATCTATTTTAAATGAAGCATACGTAGATGACTGATGTCGTTTCCTTAGTCTAGATTGCGGTGGTGAGTTGGGTGTGTGGTCTAAGAAAGAATGTCGATCGCCAACATTTACATCTTGAAAGCAGGCGTTTGATGCCGATATACTACATTTTACGAGTAATAAGTATAGTTCTAACATCATTTGCACCATTCAAACTTTTACTATGTCCTCATGCAGCAAAAGTAACATTTTTCATCCAAAAAATCTATTCTAAGCCCAATGTTCGGTAGATCAATTTTCTTTTTTAGTTTTATCCGACTTAATAGTTAGCTGATGTTTTGACTGAGCTTACTATTCGGTGTTTAAATTTTTGCATGTCGAGGCTAGTATTATCACATCCTCACCCTTTTTACCACCTGTTTCTAGTGTGTTGGTCTTTGCTTTATTGTCGTAAACGTTTGCTAGGATCGATAGAACTATGGTCTCATTCACTGTTAGTACTACTCCAATAATAGACCTCATCCAGAAATTGTAGATTTATAATGATGTGATTACCTGATCTATAAGATCTTAAATGGAAGTCACATCATTGTCTACACTGACTCATAGTAATGTGACAATTAACAATATGGTAATCGGTACTTCTGAAGAGCACATTTGGGCTGACTCCATACATGCAACCGTGTTCCCCGAAAATTATACAGGCTGCTGGATCCTCGTCGTCAGGGTTAAAAAAACCGAGTGCCATCATCATATGAGGGCAGATCATGTGAGAAAATCAACCATTGAACTGGTGAAATTGTGCACACAAGGGAATAATCAAATTCACGTAAGATTTATTACACTGTATTAATAAATATTTACAACGATATGAATATAAAATTCCTGCTGAGTGTGCAGACTCTGAGTGTCTAGTGAAGTTGTGTGAGAACATCACACTTGTTTTCGTTTAGTTAGTAAACGGGACCAACTTTACGAATTTGGCGAGAATCTGCTGTAAATGTAAAAAAGGTTAGTCAAATAATGCAATGAACATGCACATGAAACTGGACACAATTCTTGTTTCCTTGACTGATATATACTTCGTAACCCTTTGTATAACAGAGAAGCAGGTGTTCACAAGTCTAATATTTTATTGAGATTTCTTGCGAATTTCAATGTTAAAGCAGAGACCTTGATTTGGTCATGATTATTTCAAACAACTGAAATCTATCTTTGACAACCGATCTCATTTTATACCTAATGACATTCCTTCCAAGCATCATTCTCAATGTAGTTGATATTTTCATGATAAAAATAGTACATTAATGAGCTTTTAATTTTAACAAACATCTCTTAAGTCTGTTTTTCCTCTCTTGGTTCATGCAAGTCAATAATTCCTGAGCTTATCGTGGATGATTTCATACTAATTTGTGTGTCGAGGGAGCAAGTACCAGTTAATATATCTCGAATACACTTAAAATGCAACAGGTTTTCGAAGTTTGACAACGCCTTCACACGTAAAACTTTAATTAAGGTGTTCCAACCCAGTTAAACTAGAAGTCAGAAACTAAGGAGCTCGAAGATATATTTGTAATGCTATCAGTATATCAGGAAGCGTTTGAACTAAGCTGGCTAGTTGTAGCAAGGGGTACGTAACATAACGTACTCAGTCATGATCTGGTGCGGATGCGTGACCGAGCTCCTTCAACTAGATGTGTCCAGTTATACTATTCATTTTGCGGGTTTATTTACCGCAACACTTTACCAGTAACACCTTCTATAATTGAATCGCGCCCACACAGTGAAATCAAAAATCAGAAGCGAGGAGGCTGGAAGATATATTTGATGGGTTATCAATATATCGAGGAGTGACTAATCTAATCTAGCTAGTGATCTGAAGAGACGTTGAGTACGTCATTCCAAACCGTGGTCCTGTGCGGATGCATGATCGAGGGCCTTCAGCTAAATGAGTCCCTTAAAACTAATGTGACCAGCATCCAATGTCGAACACTTACAGAAATATTGATTTCGGGTATTTATTTACCGCTACAATGTATCTTCTAGGATCACTTACCACTGCAATAGTTTCAGATAGTAAGCTGTTTTCATTTCAACAACACTGCTGACACAACTACGTGTTCTTTTTAATAAACCTCTTGGAACACGCTGGCGTCAGATTTGTGCATACTTCTGAGTACAATCCAGTGCATTCATCGCACTCTATGCTCATTCCCATAAGGTGATCGACAACCCGGGCATTGTTTATTTTCGCAACTGTCCTGTCATCAACCAGGGGTTTTCAAATTACTTATACACAAGAAAACATTGAGAAGAAAGCTAATAACCAGAAGAAAGTAAAACATCAATCAGTTAGATCCAAAAGTATAATAGACCAAAAAGCACAATGTACTCAAAAAAGTACAGGTGCCGAATTACTTTCGGAAAAGAATATGTTACTCCTGGTACTACTTTAGCTGATTTATAGACAAGCTGGTTTATAGACAAGCATCTATAGATGCTTGATAAACGATCAAAACCCTAAATTTCACTCAGAGAGGAAAAGTACCACTATCCTTTTAAGTGGCGCTCGAGATTTCGCATCACTGAGATAGGATCATTTTCGTTACTTAAAGAACGGAGGCTATACTCAAATAATTTTTTCATTTATCTTGATCTGGCCGCTTCTGGAAAGGCTTACAAACTATCGAGTTGACACACTAATTATCTTATGACAGTTTGACCTTCAAGTGCTCAGCTGCGTTCAACGACGGACGATGCTAATAAAGCGTTACCGGACCACGGATATCAGTTGTTGCGGCTACCTTGAGGATGGAGGTAAGTCTAATATTGCATTCCGAAGTACCGACGTTACCATTTCACTCAGGAAATCCAAATTTTTCACTTGACTGAATCATTTGCTGTACAGGTTATACTGATGTGATACTCAATACATACTAAGTAGTTACGCGTCTAACCACAGGACGATTCTCAAATCCAAGTATTATATTAGGTTCGGTAATAATATAATCTACTTGCAAACTTGGACTACTTATCTGCCCAAACATTTTTTATTAAATGGGGGTTAATAAAGCGCAATAAATTCTGAGGAATAGACAGTTTCGACATGATTAATTAACGCCTACGTAACTAATTGTTTTCTATAGTGCACGAAGAAAGGTCAATAGAGAAAACGATCATTTGTGAGTGATAGCTGGGTTTCGCAATTGGATTTTAAGAGTTGGCATTAGGAGTCTTAATCACCGAGATCAGCTGTAACTCAAGGATGCTCTAAAACCATATGGAGTGGGTTTCCTAATGGTTGCAAAAAGCATTTGTTAAGTTAGTCCACACATTTTAGTTCACTGTCACAAACATTACTAAGTCCTGCAGAACATCAAGTGTGCTGAATGACATGTAGGACAGATAAGCATTCTGCCTCACCAAGGAATCTGGCATTTAAAAAACAGCTGTTAGTGAAACCATCTCAGAAGATGAAGGAATCGTTATCTTCCTCATCTAGGAGGTTAGTATAGAACACTAGGAAGTAACCTAACTTTCCTTGAGTTCCTCGTCCTCGTCGACGGGCAATTAACGTAAGTACTCCAACTGTTGATGAGATCGAAAAGGCTATCGTTAATATAAAGAAAGGGAAGGTGGCAAACGCTGATAGGTTAACACTAACAATCTTTAAAGATGATTCAGTTCTGGCTGCTTAACTGACATCATCTCGAGTTTGTGTACCGGATATAAGCCTATTCGACTGGACTCGGATACTGGTCTTCCTAGCTTACAAGAAAAAAAAACAAATCGTCATGCGATAACAAAATGTGCTTCGGTTTAACTAATGTCATAACTAAAATACTAGCTTAACTAGGGTTCAAAAAATCAGAATGGAGAGAAACCAGACTGGTTTAGAGCCTGGATATTGGTCTGTAGACCAGGTAGCCACTCTTCGTCAGGTTTTCGGAGTTGAGTGTGCTCACCAGCAAACGACTACCGGTACTTCTTGACGTAAAGTTAGAATTCGATTCTGTTAACTGACAAGCTTTGTTTCAAATTTTGTCATTAAATAACACCATGGACATTGTAAAGACTGTCTTTTTGAACGTCACTTGTCGAATCAGAGCTAATGCGAACTATCGAGCTCAAATGACGTTCTCCAGGGTTGTCAACTCTGTCTTTATTTACCTCAATCATAAATGTCCTCCAAGATTAAACAATCTTTTAAATTTTGCGGGATCTATCTCCCACTAAGTTATTCGCTTACCGATTATAGCAATGGTGTAATCTAATATGGAGCTAAACAATTATAGTTTTCTGACTTCTTTGATCAATAATATAAGGATGTTCAGAATGTTCTTCTCTCCCTCTAAATATAAAACGTTTCAGAACTGACCTTAGATAGGAGTGTTTTGAGCACTTATCTGAAAAGTCTCATCAACTCTGTATGGTCGGTATCTGACGAAATCTTAGCACGAATTCAGGAAGCTCGTTTCTCGCTCACCTACTTGCGTCACTTCTCAGTCAGTCAGTCACAACGTAGAACTTCGTACGTATGTACACCAGTTCGAGTTGCCATACCATATTAACACAGAGATGCAGTTGTCGATTCAAACCCCATAGTAGTAGAAGTAGTAAGAGTATAAGCAGTAATCGGAAAGATTAGAGTTTAGAGAATTTTATTTATTTATTTAAACACATAAATATTGGTACAAGAAAGCACCAGATAAATATGCGCCTCACAAATCTCATTCGATTTGTGTGAGGGCTGTGATACTGCCCAAGTGCCCAGACTGAGGCAGGTGGTTTTCTTAGGAGGCCACACCCAGAGCCTTTGACCTAAAGGTCTAGTCCACAAGGCAGTGGAGCGTCGTAAGGAGATGCAGTCCCATGGTAGCCGGTGACCAACAGTTGATTCGTACGCCATTTGTTTCCTCAGGATACTGGAGCCCATGTGCACCATTGGTTTGGAATCAGGGTTTTCCGATTCCCCTAGGTGGATCCTCCACATCCATCAACCCCGTTAAAGCGCCGGACATTCGCTTTTCGTCCTCTCAACTTCGTAAACAACAGTAACGCCACGAGAAGGCAATGAGTAGGACTTCCCTGGCAGAGGCTATATATTCGCGTAGCCATATGAGAGCATTTCGAGAGGGAGAGCAGACTCTCCCCACTCTCGGCCGTACCAGCGCATCTGGAGGCAGAGTTTAAAGATGTTATTGAGGGAGTATAATCCAGTGAAATAAATTTGGAAAGAGAAAAAGATAGAGACATGAAGAGTTCAGAAGATTAGAATTTGGTAGAACACAAAGAGTGGATGCACCTTTGCCATTACAAACGATTTTGAGCCATGTCATTCAAGGTCTCTAACCATCGATTGCTATCATCTCGCGAATCCCAACCAGGTAGTCTACACCTACCAGCATGGCTCAGTTCACTTGTCAGTGACTTCATGGATTTATGCCAGGTTTTGGTCTGGCCGCCCCTAGCTTTCTTCCAACCTACTCCTACACCATGGAACATTGCACGTTCGGGCAGTCGGTGATGAGGTTTCACTACTTCATCAATCGACTAGCCATCCATGGTGTTGGGACACTTTAATTGCCAGTTCTTTGTAAACAACTCAGTTTCTTAACCAGAAGGTCGCCCCATATTCAAAATGGGCTGGAGGTAAGGCCTATTGACTTGTGGCGCTTTAGCAGTTGGAGTCCCTTGTGGACCTTCGCCTCATCAGGTGGATCAGTCGTCTGGTCGGTGTCGCTGGTTTGGGAGATCAGATGAACTGTTACTCGAATAGCTCTGCCTAGTAAATGTTATTGATTGGCATTCCATCAGCTTCACGGATTGTTTCACTCACACCAGACGTTTTGCAGCCAATCGTTCGGGTGAATTGAAAGAGCCTCCAGAAGGTACCACCAGGCTTTTCGGTCCTTATGCAAACTTTCTACAATTTCATTACGTAACAAACTCCATTTATGGTCAAAATCCCGGTCACCTGGAGTAGACAAACGTGCTTTAATGAGTTGTAAGGAAACTTTAGAAACTTAGTTCTTATAATTCAAATCCGCAAGCAACTTTACTCTCCATTTTCATGGTGTCATGCAATTACAACCAATGCTCATCTATACTTTTTGGTGGGATGGTAGCTAGCCTTGAACCTAGCTCGGTTTAATATTTAGGTGCAACAGGACTATAACCAATTTGCTGGCATTGGTCCGTTTAGGACGATGAATTTGTTGACCACTGAAACGTAAGATTAGCGTAAACAAGGTTATAATCAGATTCCAGATAGGTACTTCAAAAGGACAGACAGTTGTGTACACAACCACTTCAGCGGTAGCTGATCGCAATGTGATCAGCCTGGGTTCAGGTTTGAGATGCAGAGTGAGAACCTTGAGTAGCACATCAGCGACGACTGTGTCGGTAGTTAGTGCTAGCTAAAAACAGGTTGTAATGTACGCAAAGCTTCATTAGGCGGTCACCGTTATCCGACCTGGGACCAACAAGTCCCCATCGGCCACCTAAACGGCTCTGTTCTGTGCCTAGACACCCGACCTGAACACTAAAGTCTCCAGCTAGTACTGCGATATCTGTCGAACGCACTTTCTGTAAGTGGACTGTTAGCTGGTGGTAAAACTCATCCTTGAATACATCTGGGTTGCAGTCTATCAGAGTATAAGCGATGACGAAAAGACATCGTTTCTCATACCGATTTCTTCGTACTTTGATGGAAATTTCTAATCTAAAAACACATAACTGACTGTTAACGGGGATCCAATTGATTAATGCTGCCTCACATCTAGCGCTTATTGCGATACCAACGTCAGCAAGATCAGACGAAGGTGCCACAGGGTCCCCGGACATTCGCTTTTTGTCCTCTCAATTCCGCAAACAACAGCCCCACCGCGAGAAAACACCGAGTAAGACTTCCCTGGCGATGGCTATATACGCGAGGTCATGTGAGAGCATTTCGAGAGGAAAAACGGGATCTTCTCATCCTTGGCCGTGCTAGGGCATATATAAGCTTTCAGTGACGATATTTGCTTGATCAGGAGCAATCCCATATATAGTAAACGCTACAGAGTCGGTTGGTAGACTACCTTCCAGGTGAAAGGTACAGTCATCGCCAATATTCGTGTCACTATGCCTTGATGTGTATGAGAATTGTTCGAGATGTAAATGGATATTTTATGTAAATGCATTTATGATACTATGATTTAATATGACGTGGTGCCGCTTAGTTTAATGCGAAACCCTATAAACTAAGTGATTTTCATTGTGATTTTTTGAATCCCGAAGCGGTTGTCAATAACAAAATACTTATGTGTTCTACGCTTACTGGTGAACTTCTTGAGATTCGTTATGTGGGTTGAGTATCATGCGACCCTAACTGATTTGGATAGTACTGTAGTATACCCCAAATTTACACTCCATGTGTGCTTCAATCTACTTTGTATGTCTACTACGAGTTTTTTTGTTCATAGCTGATTTTAAATATATTTAATAACAGTATAAACTACAGAAAGGAGTGCGTTTGTAATATCTAAAAAGACAACGAAAGCTTGAAGATTTGGCTATTCAGGTCTGATAAAATGACATCTCGAAAATCTCATTATAAACACATTTGGTTTAACGTTCTATAAATTTTGGTTTGAAGATACTTGATTTATTCCTTATTAATTTACTCTTTCTTTTCATCACCCCTATTTTAGGAAAAGAATCACCCTCAGATTCCCTATCATGATGATCGACCTCCTGGTTTCGTAGACGCTGTTCTTAAACCATGTACCAGTTTACCAGATGGTGTCCATCTTCAAGTGAAAGGATATGATTTTAACGCTGGTCTAAATTATGATGCTTTGTTCTCATCTTTTGAATGTGTTGGATTTCAGGCAACTCATTTTGCAAAGGCTGAACATGTTCTGAATGAAATGGTAGATATTTCAAAGTTCTTATAGCTAATTTCATTGCATATTGAGTAAAATACTTTGTTGTATTTAAAATTCATAAAAATACTTATGTATAGTGGTGTCTATTGTCTTTTGACAGATAAAATTTCTACTGAAACTAATATTTATTGAGAACGGACAATGGTTTGGTTTTCATATTTAATTATCACAGAGCTCTTTATAATTTTAATTATGCTTATTTATTGTTAATTGATCTTTAACACTATTAGTTTTTCTAAATTATACATAGCTTGCTTTTTATTCACTTAATCTTTTGATTTGTCAACTAACCTGAACCTTTTTCAAATGATTTCCTAAATATGCCGATCTATTATAATAAAGTTACTTTCCAATCATTTTCAACAGATCAAGAAACGGAATTTAAAACCTACTTCACATGAAGAAATTGAACTAGCTCAAGTGCTACAAGAATTTCATCCTTTAAATAGACCTTTATCACAATGTACTATATTTTTGGCTTATACATCAAATATGGTGAGCTCTGGAGTTCGAGAAGTTATACGTTTTCTGGCTGAACATAACATGGTAAGATTTAATAGATCTTACCAAGGTCTCATTTAATCTTTTACATTTCATCTTCAGCTAGAGTAAATATATGTTTTATTCTTATTTGTAGTGAGTAAATCATTATTAGTATGTCTTTTTGTTTTAATTAATGTGTTATGGGGTGGAATTGTCTGTCTAAACTTTTCCGTGTAGTATATCAAATATAAAGACATGGTTTTAATGTAGTAAAAAAATTGTCGAATTGATTAAATTATGAATGTCCATACTACACTAATGTGTTTTCTGTTCACCTGACTATACTTTTATGGTTTACTGTTTGTGATTTCATTTGAGTCAAGGCTGTTAAGTTCACACGCTGTAACGGTAATCGACGATTTACAGAAGTAGTATCATCCGATCCCATTTGATAAGCTTTTAGTTGCAAGTTGGAACCTCGCTTCCATTTGCCAAACAAAAATGAGTTTTTTAGGAATATGAGTTAAGATTGATTTGTGAAGTTAATTAATTTTAACCAAATCGTCAAAACACGGTTTATTATTTAACTTATTAAGATCATTCATACATGAATTAACTTGCATATGTGTAAAATGCTTTTACATTTTGTTTGTTAAATTAGAGCTACTGCTGAGGAACTGTTATCAAATTATGTCATTTGAGTGAATAATCCAAAATCTATTTTGAATTTGTTGTCGGGTATTAGATCTTGTTTTTCATATTGTGAAACTCACTTACCAAGTTCATGTCATTTTTGTCTTGCTCACCATGTGGAAAGGTCGGAGATATACGCGAGTCTTGTAAAATCTATTCTTTCATCACTGAGATGTTTAATGGTTTGGAGCAGAAATCAAGTGATTTGATTTAGGAAGTGGATTCAGTATCACTTAGTACTGCCTGAAACTATACTTTAAATCTGATCTGCAAGTTAATTACTAGCTCGGGTAAATTTCACTGCTTTACTATTGAAACTGGTAGCATGGGGTCTAATATTTTTCTTTGTTAGAATGAACAGATAAAGATACATAGAATCGTTGACCTGTAACGTGTAAATCGTAACAACGTGTTCATGTCAATTCTTGTGACCCATTGTTTGTTAAACTCGCATTGTTTTAGTTATTATCTTCTCATATTCCAGATGCTTATAAGAAATAATCACGTGTAGTTTTATTTTACTCAGAGAAAAAAAACAGGTATTGAGCGTCATGCTGCAAATTTTAGGTACTTTTCCGTCATCCCTTAATAGAGCTACAATAAGAGTAGCTCAAATTAAATGAATCAACCGAATGTATTATAGTGTCATTCATCACATCAGTTGGTTTTTGTGTCAATATTTTTCAAACGAACGTTTTTTCATCAACAGGTTGATGTGATAGTCACTTCTGCTGGTGGTGTGGAAGAAGACTTTATCAAATGTCTGGCTCCTTCATATGTAGGCGATTTTGAAAGATGGCGTGGTCATGAATTAAGAGAAATTGGTGTAAATCGTATTGGCAATCTACTTGTACCAAATAATAACTATGTTCAATTTGAACAATGGCTTCTACCCATTCTAGACGAAGTTTTAGAAGAGCAAAATTCTCAGGTATGTTTATTTTGAAATTCAGTTATTATGAGTGTTAATATTATGTGTAACTAGCGTATGATACTTCACGGTGTATAATTTTCTCACTGATAGATTTATGCATTTTAGCTTGTGGATTTAAGGATACTAACTTCAAATTGTCTATTCTATTTTCTTATCATTTAGCTTGTTCCTGATTTCTTCTTAAGTAATTTCTTGTTCATAGAAAGAGACAGTTTCCACTTTCTGATAAAATTTACAAAGAGAACCTATTTCAAACCGATGTAAATTGTTTGTTTTTATAAAATATTCCTGAATTCTGACTACCTTTTCAATCTTCGTATTCATTATTCTATATTTGAGTCAGACTTTTATGATATTGTTCAACACACAGCAACGTAAGCTTCGCAATTAAGCAATCGTGGCTACAGAACTCCATATCATCAATAATATCCATACTTTGCTTGGTAGTCAGAGGGTTGGAATCAATAAATCCCACTGTCCTATTCAACGCAACCAAAGTAATAATGACAGTTGTGCTTACTTCCTCCTGTATCTTATGATAGAACTATTTAATCAACATTTATTAAGATACTACGAATGTTCACTAATAACTTAAGTGAATACACGATACCGAAAATCTTACGAAAAGCCTTATCTAATTTGATCCACATAACCGACTATAATCTCATGTTCTCGACTCAGTGGTTATATTTAATATCCTTGAAATAGGACAAATGTTTTTTCATCCAACTGGAGGTCAGTTTACTTGGTGTTAACGTCACCTATGGAGAGGAAGAACAGCTAATATCGTCTTATCTGTTTATCTTTGAAAGGGTATCTTGGTTACAGTTATTTTACACACAATAATAAATAGATTGTTTATAAGAATTCTCATCACTCAGTAGATAAAATTATTTCTGTTATTCAGTAAGACATAAGATTCACGCTGTTTTCGTTTGTTATTTAGAATATAAACTGGACACCGTCTAAGTTGATCAATCGTCTAGGTAAAGAAATCAATCATAAAGACTCCATATATTATTGGTGCTATAAAGTGAGTGATTAGATTTTTTCAACACCACCAATTCCCATTGATAACAAATTCGGGCTTTATTCACCATTTTGTAAAGAGTATTACGTTTCCATTCTCAAACTACTAGTTAAAATTAGTGTGTTAGGGTGACTCAACCTATACGGATGAATATAGTAACTATCTGTTGAAACGATTTCATTAGAGCCGTTTGATTTCCATCATCTCACATTAAAGTGCGACTCATAGTTTCTGAATTCCATCCTTGAAAGCATATGGATTCATACTATCAGATCTTTTCAAACAGTCACACTTTTCCAGTTTACACAGGTGGTAGAGCAATGTCAATGTCCCCTTCAGATTACAGTCGGATTGTAGCTGATGAAATATCACGTCCAACTTCCGAACTAAATCCGCTAAACTATCAATAGCCTATCTTGCGCTGTATTCTCACAGATAATTTTTTCCGGCATTTTCAATAAAGTTAAAGAATTACTGAGTTACCAAATTTTGGGTTTTTTTATTGTGCAACATACTTCGTCTTTGTTCTGCAACTTGTAACTGCTGTAAACTATTGTGTAAACTCTTAGGCAGTTGGGTGTTTCACCTGCTTCTACTCCACATTGTGTGCGGATATAATTGGAGTGTGTTCATTATTAGGCGTAATATGGCAACCGCCAGGTTATGCAATCTCTTTCAATATGTTCAAAGTTAGCATCAGTAAGTTGGAGCCCCCTTACAAATGATCACTGTTATTGGTTTGTCGTAATAGTGTTTCTTGGGATACTTGACAGTAACGCGTTCTTTGGTAATTATAAGTAGTTTTATGCGCTTGACATTTTTGAGTAATGTTCTCGTCAAAACTATTCCATGATGCCGTCTCTCTATTGGTGTATAGACATACTATAAACTTCAATTATTTCAAATTCTTGAAAAACTTTGTGGATGACTATCAGGTCGAATTTACTCAACGAGTATGTTGTTCGTTCTAGAATTTCATGCCACACATACATTTGGAAGTCCATACAATCCAGTATTTGAGTCTCTGGGGACCCTTGAAACCAATTGCTCTAAATTGGAGTAAGCTTAAGTTCTCACCTCCATAACAAAGTAATTTGGAAAACAAGCGTTCCAGTTTGTGCAAAACTGATCGGATCATCAATATGGACAAACCAGACCACCTTCTTAATCTAAAAGTTGTTTATCAGAGAGTCCTTGATTCAAGATATGTCCCATCAACCATGGATATTATTGTTTACTATCACAAAATAGCTGAGACTCATTATTTGTATCAAGTTGTATTGATATACTGTTAAGTCAATTTATGGATTACCATGTTATTTATTGAATAACAGGTATTCGGAGTACGATTTATTGCTTTTAAGTAATACTATGTTGGGATGAAATAAGAGCCAACTGCTTTTCGGTTACCTGCAACAAGTTGATACGGTTTCTTGGTGGATTTAGCAATTCATTCCGATTTCTCGACTTTAATTACTATCCTCCCGGAAATTCATGCGCGTAAAACATGTCTGTGGAGAGTCTTACTGATTGTCTATCAAGCTATCACTATTTATTGTCCCATTAATTGCTTGTTCATTCTTCTCTAATTTTTATTCTATTCCTATTATTTTCACATCAGAATAAAATTCCGGTATTTTGTCCCGGCTTAACCGATGGTTCTCTGGGTGATGTTCTGTTTAGTCACACTTATCGATCCCCTGGTTTAAAAATAGATCTAGTTGAAGATATTCGCAATATCAATTTACTAGCAATTAATGCTCGTACTACAGGAATGATAGTACTAGGTGGTGGTCTTATAAAACATCACACATTCAATGCAAATTTGATGCGAAATGGAGCTGATTATTGTGTACTTATCAACACAGGTCAAGAATTTGATGGCAGTGACTCCGGTGCTAGACCCGATGAAGCTGTAAGTTGGGGAAAAATTAAAGGATTAGCTGAACCAGTTAAGATTAACGCAGATGCATCGTTAATATTTCCAATTTTAGTTGCACGAACATTTGTTAAACAAGTTCAGACGTAATGTTTTGAAATAAACAAATTTTGTTATGAAAATGACTAGTTTTTCAAACGTTAAAATTCCATCAAAAGTAAAATCATTTGATTTTTTTGCCCGAAGTCATTTATTGTCAAACTTCGTAACAGTTGAACATTGAGCTATATCCCGTCTTGAATCTTTACCTTGTCTAAACCAACCTCTGCATGTTATATACTTTATAAAAATGAAGCTCATAAGGATACACTGAACACCAGTATTATTAGATTCAATCAGCAACTAACAATTATTTCATTTAAGTGTTGATTACAAATATTGGTAACCTTCAGGTCTTTCTTTCCTCAGTTTTGTGTTGCTATTCTTTAGGATTCTAATCGGTACTCCTTTTTAAATTAAAGCTTGTAGTTTTGGGGATATCATTGTCTTCAAGTTTCGCGATGCAATAATCATTAGGCATGACTACAATAATAATTTATCCGACAGTTGAGGCAAAATGAATGATAGATAAGTCGATATTGTTAAGTTATCACCATCTGCGCTTCAATTAACGATATATTACTGTATCATTTTAAAACTATCCTTAAGAGTTTTTAGTCTTCTGCTCCATATGTTGACTGAGATTCGAACTCCTTAATCAATAAACCACTTTTTCACTTAGTTACTACACTAATCACATAAACTAGTGAATACTCAGTGTTTTCGTGTGTGTCATTAAACGACCATCGAATTGTGAAGAGTTCATGGCTTTAGTGCTCGCCTTCAAACCACATTCTTGCTACGTCGATTTCAGCAATCGAGTGGTATTTCTGATTTTTATGAAACAAATACATGTACCTATATCTGCTTGTTTAGTCGCATTATTAATTTCTAGTAAAAATTACTTCAAGTAGCTTTCCATGTACGATAAAAAGTTAAACAAAACGTAATCAAAGTCCAATACTTTTCAAAGGATAATAATAACAACATATAATCAGAAAGATAGTTATTATACATGTTTATTAGATACTTTCAACAGCTTTTGATTTATGTTAGAATTCACTGAAAAACTTAACATTTCCCTTCCCAATAATGTAAAAAGAAATCCAGCTAAACTAATAGACATAGCGATGACGTAATGACTAATGCTAGTCCCTATATCCAACCAACTACCTTCGTCTTTCAACCAAACAAAGAAGTGGATAGCTATTAGGTTAGATAATACTGCAGTCACACCAGTTTGCGCCAAAATAGAGTGATATCCTCTTTTCGATCTTTGACTGTTGATAGACGACGAGTAATTGTCTGGATTGCCATTATGTAACTGGATAGCAGCATAGATCACACCCAAAAAGAGCATAGGACACATTACCTAGATGAGGGAAAATTAAATTTTATCATACTGATTATGACATTTTAAATACCAAAGTGAAACAAAATAGCTATCCATATTTAGTATACCACTAAGATATAGTACGATCGTTTGGTGACTCACATGTTGTTTTGTAAGTATTATCTATGATGGTTAAATGCATATCCGTAACAACTCAATCAGTTATAAATAATCAAAGATATATAATTATTGGACATAGTGCCGAGCTATAAGGTGAAATTACTTCAAATGCTATCTGAAAACATATTCCAGTTTATCCTTTAGGATGACAAACAAACAGTCAATGAGGGATTTCTCAAGTTTATCACTGCGAATGACATTGGTATCCGATCAGTAGATTTTCCAGTACTTACTGTAACGCAAATTAAGATGTTACAGACAGACAGGTTATGAATTAGGAATAGATATCACAAAGAATAATTCAAATGTAATTGAACCTTAATACGTTTTAGAAGCGTTCACAGAGTAGGCAGTGCTTCAACTCTGTTCGAAACAAATAATAAAAACATTCAAAATTTAGTCACAGCTACTACCCTAATGAATTTCATTTTCCAAATATCGTATGACTTCGGAGCTTTATTTTAAAACAATCAGCAAAGCAAGATTATCACTGTGAAACAGTAAGTGCGGATTGACTGGAAGTTTCACTACCTCTGGTAGTGATGGGAAACCATGGCCAACAAGAAATCAGTAGTAACCAGGATGACAGTGAGGAAAGTGGAATTTCGTAGGGAGTAAATTTTCTCTTAAGACTCTATTTATGCCTTGTTGACAAGTACCGGCTCGAACGACATCTATATCTAGGATTATTTGTTGGTTACCTCCAACAGCAAAACATCGTTTTGGGTAATGTCTAATGAGGAAACTTTCGTTGTCATTGTGGTCGACGGGATCAGCATTTCTAATAGAAGTACACATGATGCTCAGTCACTTAAACTGGTGACACATACTGAACCTTGGTCGATAGAATTTAATCAGCATTAAGGTTTAGAGAAATATGGCATTAATAGCTAGTTAGTGACCAGTCAATGTAAGCACAAAACCTTTATCACATTTCGTCACTTTTAGCAGGCATGTTTAAACATGTTGCAGCCGCTACCAATCTGATTCAATCTGTTTTATTTTAACATGTAAGTTGGTGCTTATTTGTACGATTTATTTGCTCACATTAAAGAAGCCAATCACACAATGTCATGGAAGAATCGAAATCCATTTGTTCATTTATTTCTAAATGCTGACAATATAAGGCCCTTACATGTTTCAGGTATTCGACCCCAGTTGTATTAAAAATACTGCTTGAGTATAGAGCAACCACTGAATATGACATCAGTTCCTCAAATTAATCATTTATAGCTATTATGCGCTAACTTTTTGTTTTCATTTGCCTTCCCTTTTAAAAGGCCGGAATAATCTTTAGCTGAAAAGAACACTCAAAATGATCAAATTAATTAACAAATTTGAGTATATAGAGAACAAGTAAAGTTACCTTAATTAACAAAAGAATGGCCATCAGGGCAGGATTTAATATTGTCGTGAAGCAAAAGGTTGAACGTGGGTCAAAACTAAAACAATCGGAAAACATGATTGATTTTATCAAAGAAAAATTGGGAAAATTCGTTATTTGATACTCGGATAATACTTGGGAAAAGATTACTGGTTATTGGTCATGTATTTTTACACAAGTTATTATCACTCAAAATAGTGAAGTTCAAACAACTCAAATGACCTATATAGGACTGAAATTGATAAAAGCATTTACCGGTTTAATATAACTGTTATTGTTTCATTTAAATTCTTGAAAATCATAATCTCATAAAAAACTTTGACAATATCGTCCGTAAATAAATTCGAACTAAAAAACGTTCAGTATAAATGATTCTAGTATGGTAGTGCAGCATATATGTACATACAAAGCAGATACAGGAACAAAAGTTAATGTACTCTAATTTGATCCATAATTTTAATGTGAGGATTAGTGACACTATACAATTGTTCATACGGATTACGCAAAATAGACTTGAATTTACAATTGATTAGTATAAAATAGACCACTTTAGTTATTAGGCCACTGACCTTCATTATTGACAAACTGTCTTGTGTCTAAGTATATAATACGAAATGCTCTCAACATGAATCAATTTAAAGTTGGAAACTGGCTACTAGTGGAATCCCGAGAACGCCTTCCTTCCCATTTGAGATTTATCAGATCGAAGAATCCACAAACCCATTACATATCACTTCTAACGCCAACGCCTCATCCATTGAGTTAAGACAATCACTAGGTTGTGCAATGGAGGGCGCATCCGTCAGAACAAACTGATCATTTACATTCCTAAACATTAACATTCGAAAAATATGAACCCTTACAAATGCGTTAAGTTACCACAAGATGAGCTCTAATATCTTTCCATATTTCCATTCACCTACCTGTTTATACTAGCAATATTCCCGGTACCAAAAAATCCAATTATCAAAAGAAATATCTATTTTACATATTATTAAGAAAATAACTCAGATTGTAAAATGATAGAGAAATGATCGAAATAGAAACAGAGTGTTGTAGTGTGGTGTGTGCTACTGATGCCAACAGGTATAAGTATGTATCATCAATCGAAAAAGTGCCTGGAGGCAGAAGGTTAAGAAGATCGAAGAGAAAAGAACAGAGAGTGATTGGTGTAGAAACGATGAAACAGTGAAGTTTGAGATAATTTATTAAAATTTTGCAAATGAACTATTTACTGTACGGTCCTCAGATTTTACTAAGAGATTCCGTAATTTTGTTTTCAAATACATTCGTTTGTACCCACCTGTGTTCTAGTTCACTACAGTAGGACTGGTGAATCAGTCTGTATATGCATTTTTGTGTTTACTTCTTGAACAACTGGTTTATGGTCATTTTTATTAAATTACTGTCATTGTAAACTTTCCATAAATTCATTCAGTGATATCTTCAAACGATGAGTAGGTCAGTGAATAAGTGACTATTGAATTGCATCACAATAGTAATAATAAACATCTAGACAGAAATGATGCCACAAAATAGTGTTTTTTTACACCGTTTTAACTAAGTGCATTCCCCTGTAAATGAGTAAATTTTTCTTGTAAAAAAAGGATACGAAGAAAAGTGATTGACGAAATCTCTTCAGGTTTAACGGATTTTCACTGTACGGATATTGAATCTGAATAGCTAAATGAATGCTGTCGTCAATCGATGTCCCAAGATCCCAAACCTAATAATCATGAAAAAATATCAAACAAGAAATTAAATCGAAATTCACTATCTACCTAGTGTAATGACCGAGTTAACAATGTATGAGAAGTGTTATTCTCTTTGAACTGCATAGTGTTATAACCTGTTGGCACTAATTGACATAACTTGTTGCACGCCAATTAGAATACAGTGACTTATCGATCGGACGAGTGACACACGAAACCCGTACGAGCAGTCTAGAGCACATGTCGGTCCTGTTATCTGAGTTATATGACACAGGTTCTAGTCCCATAGCGAGCACTTGTCATCTTAAGACGGTAGATACACTCTGTTGACAGGTCCCAATCAGCACGAGACCTAGATTCACAGCTTCATATTGACCACTTAATGTATCTCGTGCGAGAGTAATAATGAAATTGTAACTCGACCGATACAATTCGATTAGCACTAAAGGACTAGACAAACATGGCATTGGTAACTATTCAGTTGTCAGCCAATCCTAAACGAATTCGAATCTCTGTTATTCAAACTTTGACAACTAATTTGAACAGGCAATGTTTATAATGATTGATTTGCCTTTTAGATAACGCTGTAGTGTGCGAAGCTATCGGTGTTCGATTGAGCTTAGAAGTCCCGATTGATAAGTAAAACCTGTCCTTGACTTTACTGTTAGCCACAATCTAAAAATATAGAAATTGCTACGAGATGAATATTCAGAACAAAAAATAAGTTGTATAAAAGAAAGGTATGACATAGACTCCAAAAAGAGGAGAGCTAATCAGTGTACTTAAATTCGTCCAGCTTTTTTTAAAAAAATTACTAACAGAAGATTAACACAGATAATGCTGAGCAAAACTTGATAAGATGAACTAAACTCACCCTGATATTATCCTTTAGAATTAATGTTAGTGGTTTCGTTTCTATATAAAACCATAAGTAGGTGACTACAGCGAATACAGCAAAGAATGAAACTTCATAACTAGTGAAATTGATTTAAAGTTAAGTAACAGTATACGAACAAACAATATAATTCACTAAAAGTTTCTAAAAAGTAATCTTTTATCATTATTAGGGTGAAAATTCCTGAATTAAGACGATTGTCTTACATGTAAGTAGAGAAACAAAAAATAATCACTGCACATTAACATGAAGCGTGTGTTATTTTGGTGCATTGATAATCAATAAACAATAAGTATACGTCATAACTTGTGAAAATTATATTTGAAATAATCTGAGCGACTGACATTGTAATAATTTAAACGTTTCGTCCAGCAAAATTGTTTGAACTTCTTTAGGGTAAGTATAAGTGTTGATAGTATGTGATAATAAATAGAACTACTAAGAGAAAATCAATGTTAGAGAAAATTTGATGTTTGGAGTAAACTTAGTAAAAACTACTCGACTTTAGAACAGTAAGAATGAAGTTTATTAAAATTTGAATGGGAGTTTATATTGGTTCTTTAAGTTTACATCTGAAGAACTAATAATGAGGAGAAAGATAAGAGAGAAATAAAAACTAATCTTGAACTAGAGCATTATTATTTGTTAAATAAAAATAATATTTGATAGATAAAGTGGTTTTATGCGAACTATCTCTTCATTACATAATTTTTGTTATGTATCAAACACATTAAATCCAAAAGAATATTAAACTTTAGAATTATACACTAACCCTATTGATTGAACTAGTCGCAATGAGTGAAATTAAAATATCGCTAGCACTTCTGATTAATAGATGTTTTGAAGGCGCTTATGATTGGAAACAATATTTTTTTCTATACTCAGAAACATATTTAGATAGCAGTTTGTTGAGAAAGTGATCAGAAGAAATAAGCCGTAGAACATTTGTATGATATCATATTTGGCTATTATCAAACCTAACTGTTGTCTGACTTCATCTTTAATATAATGATTCTTAACATTGTTCCAAAAAACATTGATTTATAGAATGTTTCTTAGGTCTGATATTTAATGGTATTATAGATTCATGAAGTGTCTTGGTCTGGTCATCCTGTTCTACACTAGGAAACAAAATATTGGAGTATCTGTAACAAATTGCCTAACTACTCTAGTTAACAAAAATTAGTAATAATCAATAAATCTATGTTGCATTGTACAAGAAATCTCTACTATAGTAAGGAGTATTAAAATGTTTTATTTTATAAACCTTAAGAGTAGGACTTACAACGTCTGTGAATTTTTTAAAATCGAACTTACTGCAGACGACTAGAGATTTTTTTTGGCTTTTGAGATCAATTCAAGTGGAAGAAAAGTTCGAGAACAGTGTTGTGACCCTACTAAATACAAGTCAAATAAAAGTGTCCAGTGAGTGACATATTTTTTATCTATGATATTTTTCATCATTGCTCTTACATGGTAAATTGATTGGAACTGGAGTTTTTGAATATTTGGTTTCAATTCAGTGCTCAAAATACTAAGATCTTATGTAACATATTGTATTTACATGTTAACGTGATGATAATTGTTTCTTGTTTATGTAGTTACATGAGATTGAGAGTTATATACCATTCAACTTAGGTATAAATTATATCAGATCAAATAGGACAAATAATTTCTTTAACCTGTAATTTAGAAAAAGGATACTAAGTGCTCATTAGTAAAAGTGGAACAACATAAACGATTGTCCATCCAATCATTCGAGGTCCAAGACGTGTTGGAACTAGAAGGATCACTGACAACGGTAGAAGTACTAGAATGAATAACAACATAATCAAGAAGAATAATTTCATTGAGTGACAAAAGTGTCTTCTAAGAACATTTAGAAAGAGTGAAATTAATACCATATTTTAAACACTGAATACTCGCCTAAAAATGATGAAAACAGCGTAATTTTCATTTGACATAGTTCACACCGTGAAAAATACACTTTAAACCTGAAACATTTCCGTGCCTACTCTATTCATACAAACTTCAAGTTGATACCTTGAGTGAAAATGCATAAGCGTTGATTTAGATTATTGGGAGAGGATTGAATAAAGTCGTTTCATGATCCATCTATAAGAAATTTATACCAAACCTTTTAAATGTGTAAATTCACATCAAAAATAATCATGTATTCGCTTTCTGTCAGAGTTAAAGTATTGAATTTGGCTGTTACGTTTAAGATTTTATTGCATCTCTTTGAGATATATTCGGCGAATGTAGGGAAATGTTGAGTATCTAAAAAAGGACCACTAGTGTTTTTAAATTAAGCTTAAAGTGGGAACGAGAAGTCAAAAAGTGAAAACAATCAATCCATAAATAATCGAATATACAGTGAGCTGGAGGCTTTCGCAACAAATGCTAGACACTTGCAGTTGGAGATCATAAATGGTATTGTGAAAAATATATTTGATTACTACAGTTTCATATGTTGTCATCTGTCTATTTGCTATACATTTCCTTTTAAAAGCATTTTCGATGAAACCGTTGATTTAACTTTGTCCGATACATTTTCAATGAAGTATTGTTCTATGTTTCGTCATGAACTTGTTTGACACTGTTTAAGAAATGAGAACATCTGTTATAACGTATCGTTTTCTAGGCCCTTATAATATATATGAACGTGCAATGATACAGAAAATACGTACGAGCAGTCTTGGGTGCTATTCGGTCCTTCCTATCTGCCTAGCACAGCCCGTTAAGTCCAGAACACAAATAACAGCCTCAGCAGTATGAATCATTATTTACAACCATACTGGGTTATATATACTAACCAAACAGACCACATATATCAAAAATAGAAAAATAACATTTGTACAGTAATTGGCCAATGTGGCTGTAGCTAGGGGGAAAGTAATCAATAATAATAGTTCCAAGGTCAAAATAAAGGTTATGATAAGAGGAACACGGAAACGATTAGGTCACTTATTTAACAACTATCCAATAGGAATAGGCGTATTACATTTGTCCATAAATGGACCTCAGATTTATGATTCATAATTCGCCAGGGGATACAACAACATCAATTTGTATTTGTGTATAGAATACAAAAAAATGTGCAATAAAGAAGTGAATACGAGTAAATAAAAACTTACTAATCACAGACCAACTAAATATGTGAATAATAATCTTCAATATCCCCGTACGTATCACTGAGAAACTCATTGCATAAACAGCAAAACTTGAAAGACAAATTACAAAACCCTATGTACATATTAAAAGAAAAAAATGAAACAATTATTAGGCATATAATTAAACAAAATTATATATATGCATATATATAACACTAATTACATGGTGATGCTTCACCTGAACGTTTAATCATGTGCACTGCATTGCTAGAAGATAAATCTAAGAAACATGGAAAACAAATCATCAAAATTGACTCGTTTCATGAACAATACACTAGTGATGGGAAAAGATGCATACAATGAGGATAAGATATCCGGTCTTATAGGTTTGAAGAGGTTACGAGTTCGCCTCAATCTGCAAATGGAACGAAGACTCAGCGACATAATGACCAACTAAACTAACTATCCAGATGAGTCCCAGCACCGCTAACTAGAGAGAGAAGTTCAGGTTCAGAAGAGGGAAAATGTATTCCACAAGCACGAACAACAACAAGCACGACTCAAGCGTATATATACAGCATAAAAATATCCTTGAGGAACGTTACACAATAGCATATTAAAAGAGATAACGAACCAATCACATTTAAGGTCCTCTCAAACAGGAAATATGACGTGAAGGTGAAAAAGGGCGCTTTTGGAGCGAAAATAAGAAATTTAAATTTCCGAAGTAAAATTACGAAGATAAAACATTTACCAAGTAAGTTCTGAGGAAATAACATCTTCAATACGGTCACAGTATTAGAAACCCAGTTTCTAAGTGAAAGATATAAATCTAATAGTTTGCAATTATCAAATACTAGTTGTATAACTCTATATGTACTTTTTAAAGGCAATTCAAAATTATCTGAAGGGTGAGTTATCAATTTGTGGACGTTTTTGAGCGACGTCAAAGTGACCTTGAGGATGTCCACCCAATAACTACGACGAAATGAGGGTTATAAACCAGTGCGAGAAATTAGAATTATGATTTACAGTTGATGGTTAGGGTTAGGAATTAGATTTAGGGTTCTTTATCACAAAATTTCAAAACAACATTTAGCCAAATATATGAATGAATTCCGCGCAAAAATCCAAGACCTGTTATCTTATATCTGATTAATTCATCCATAAACTATAGTTTCGCCGTCTGAAGTGGATAAGATAAATGATTGACTGATCATTGTTCATCAAACTTGATGAAAACTGAAGTTTGAAATGGAATACTACTATTTACAATACTGCTTTAATAATTTATTTAAATATTTCTGTGCTTAATTGCACTCCTTCATTTATCTCCTCACATTTTCGTTATCTTAGTTATATGATCCACATTTAATTTGATGCCCAGTTGTACCAATATTTATGTGTATCAAATAAATAAAAAAAATCACTACTACTTTGACAACGACATTTTTAAAGGATACTATAAGCATTTTTGCCTGTTCACAATTTTCTGCCTAAGGCAATAGCAAATTAGTAAACAAACGTTAAACTTACGAACAAATAACCAAGCCATATAAAAAGATGATTTTGGGAATTTGATACAAACCGAAAGGAAATAATTGATATTGGTGTAAGAATAAGACCAGTTATAAATCTAAAAAATGGGAATATATTGTATATAAGAGAAAATAGTTACAACTATACCTCACATGTAGGTGGGCACTGATATTAAAGAAATGAAAAAAAAACTGTCGAAATGATAGATTACACTATTTTACTTCAAATTTCAAATGAGATTTTGCTAACATACAAAATAAAACCCAAAAATATATACAGAAGAGATGGAGTACAGTTAGCTATACCATGTCAACTGGTAAATTATTAGGTAAATCTGGATTTCATTTTACTACTTTTAATTCGTCTAATGCTTTGTGAGAAACACCGATATACCTTATTTGTTCTAACCAGTTAATTTGTCTGGATATACAAAGAACAACTTGCTTGTTTAGCAAAACAAAAAAAATTTGGAATCAAGAAACTTTTCCATTTCATGGTCTAAGAAAATGAATAATGTAATTTTAGGGTTATTATATGGATACGACTAACTGTACTAAATAGAAGACGTGATTAAAATTCGGCAACTGGACCTGGATCAATAGATGCAGTGATGAAACTAGATAAAATGTGTAACAGGTAGTTGACGATCGACCAGACTTCTTGATGATTTATCAACAGTTGATTGATGTCTTTCATTATATCATTTGTAGTTGGTTTTCGGTGCACTAACGTGTTTGATGTTCGCTGTAATAATTCACCAGGCTTCAGAAACTCACTGGAGAAAATCCACTGTTACACACAAAAACTGATTCGACCGATCAATTAATCAAATTAAAGGACGTAGTTGATTAGATGCTTACGCGGTAACTTCATCTTGCATTTGAAAGAGCAGTTACATTCCATTGCATCAACGGTATGCCTCCTACTTCGGTCTATGACTGGAAAGATATTTCCTGAAAATGTGATTATTTGATGAAATTTTGTACGCAATTCACTTCTCAGCAACTGACATGCCTTTGAAATGATTTCCTAACTGTATCGTTTCTAAATAATTACGAATAACAACGTTTCTACACACTTCTTTGCTTATGCCATGCAGTTTTGTGTTAAGTCAGTAGCCACTCCTTGAAAATAAGTGGATCCCACGCCGCAACACGAGACACATGCGATTGAGGTTGTATATCTTCATCATCCGGTACGTTGGTTCCGCGAAGTTCACGTTGTTATAAATTAGCAGTATACCTCATGGTCTAAGTGCTTTGCTCCATATTCATTTTTATTGAGGTTATTTTGTAGATGCCCCCAAATGCCCTGGTACGGCCGAGAGTGGGGAGAGTCTACTCTCCCTCTCGAAATGCTCTCACATGGCCACGCGAATATATAGCCTCTGCCAGGGAAGTCCTACTCACTGCCTTCTCGTGGAGGGGGTGTTGTTTACGAAAGTGAGAGGACGAAAAGCGAATGTCCGGCGCTATGACCGGATTGGTGGACACGGAGGGTCCACCTAGGGGAGTTGGAAAACCCTGATTCCAAACCAATGGTGCACATGGGCTCCAATATCCTGATGGAACGAATGGCGGAAGAACCTGTCATTGGTCAACGGCTACCATGGGACTGCATCTCCTCACGATGCTCCACTGCCTTGTGGATCAGACCTTTAGGTCAAAGGCTCTGGGTGTGGTCCCCTAAGAAAACCACCTGCTTCAGTTTGGGCACCCGGGCAGTATCACAGCCCACACACAAATGAATGAAATGATGAACTCTATTGACGATAATATCCCTGCTCACATTAGAAGCAAGACAATTTACATTAGTATTATTATTACCTTTATTATTATTATTATTATTATTATTATTATTATTATTATTATTATTATTATTATTACTTACCATATCGCTAATTCACCCATTTTTACCCCCAATTTGTGTAACCTTACTTTTCAACTTATGCAGCAGCTCGCCCACGGTGGAAACTCTGTCCTATCTAAACGATCTCCAGTCACTGTTTGGTTGAAAGTGAATGCTTCCACCGATTATGAATACTGAAGCAGTCTTTCTGAAACCACGTACGCCGTTTAAGCTGGCTTCCTTCAACGTTCGCACACTAATGCATATCAGACAACAGATAGGGCTGGCTATGTCTTTGGAAGGTCTTAATGTTGATGTTTGTTGTCTATCCGAGACCCGTATTCAAGAATCTAGTGAAGTACTACAAATTCGCTCTCCATCTGTCGCCTCGAAAAGCTTGTTGCACGTGCGCTTATCCGGGGACCCTGTGGCATCTTCGTCTGGTCTTGCTGGCGTTGGTGTCGCACTAAGCGCTAGGGCTGAGGCAGCACTAATCGATTGAATCCCCATTAACAGTCGGTTATGTGCTGTTAGATTAGAAAGTTCCATCAAAGTGAGAAGAAATCGGCGTGAGAAACAGTGTCTTTTCGTCATCCTCGTCTATGCACCGACAGATTGCAGCCCGGATGCAATCAAGGATGAGTTTTACCATCAGTTAACAGTTCTTCTCCAGAAAGCGCGTTCGACAGATATTGTATTACTAGCCGGAGACTTGAATGCACAGGTCGGGCGTCTAGGCACAGTAGAGAGTCGTCTAGGTGGCCGATGGGGACTTGTTGGTCGCATGACAGATAACGAGGACCGTTTGCTGCAACTGTGCACAGACCACAACCTGTTTCTGGCCAGCACTAACTTCCGGCACAGTCATCGCCGGTGTGCCACCTGGCGTCCTCCCTCTGCATCCCAAGCCTGGACTCAGATTGATCACATCGCGATCAGCTACCGCTGGCGTGGTTGTGTACAAGACTGCCGCTCCTTTTGGAGTACCTATCTGGAGTCTGATCATGCCCTGGTCTGCGCCAATCTCACCGTACTTTTCAGTGGTCGAAGGGTTGACCACCACCAACGGATCGATGTTAGTAAACTGGCTGCAACATCTGTTGAAAGTAAGTATCGATCGGTGCTAGCTTCTAGACTAGCTATCATCCCACTGAAAAGTATAGATGAGCATTAGTTGCATCTTCACGACGCCATGAAAATGGCGAAACGTCCCGCTTACAAGCACTGGTTTTCTTCTGGCTCCTTACAACCGATGGAAGCCCGTCGGTCTACTCCGGGTGACCGTGAGTTTGACCACAAACGAAGGCTGTTACGCAATGAAATCGGGCAAAGCTTGCGTAAGGACCGAGAAGCCTGGTGGTCGGAGCGTGCTAATGAGATGGAAGCAGCAGCTGCATCTGGTAACTGCCGCAAGCTCTTCCAACTCATCCGAGCCACTGGCAGCAAGAAGTCTGGTGTGAGTAAAACAATCTACGAGGATGATGGGATGCCAATCACTAACATCTCTCGACGTCTTGGACGATGGGCGGAATTTTTCGAAGGGCAGTTCAACTGGCCTGCTGCTCCGGCAACATCAACCAGCTTGTCCTGCCCCCCCCATGGCCGGTGACGACTGATCCACCAAACGAGGCGGAAGTCCGCAAGGAACTCCAACTCTTGAAGCGCTACAAATCACCGGGCCTAGATGACTTACCTCCGGCTCTTTTTAAAGATGGTGATGACATTCTGGCTAAGGAACTGACGGTGTTGTTTGCAAAGGTTTGGGAGCAAGAAAGTGTTCCATTATCTTGGAATGAGTCGATAGTCGTCCCTATCTTTAAAAAGGGTTCACGTTGTTCCTGTAATAACTATCGGGGAATAAGTCTACTTCCGATTGCGTCCAAACTATTGGCTTCTATCATTCTTCGTAGGTTGTTTAAAACCCGAGAACGATTGACTCGCAAGGAGCAGGCTGGTTTTCGTTCTGGTCGAGGATGCATTGATCACATCTTCACCCTCCGCTAAATGTTAGAACACCGTCATACTTATCGCAGGCCAACAATCGTAGTGTTTCTTGACATCAGGGCTGCCTTCGATTCGTTGGACAGGACTGTTCTCTGGAATTTTCTATTGAAGAAGGGTGTGTCTGAGGAGTTCATTAACATCTTAAAGGCCCTGTATTCGAACACCTCAGGTAGAGTGAGGGCATACAACCACCTTTCTCCTTTGTTTCATTCGAGCAATGGGGTTAGGCAAGGTTGCCCGATCTCACCATTCCTCTTCAACTTTGCCATCGACGACATCCTGGAAACAGCTCTGATGGATGTAAGTAATGGCGGTGTGATTATGTTGCCTGGAGAACGACTTCTCGACCTTGAGTATGCGGATGATATTGTCTTACTCTGCGATAATGCCCAAGGCATGCAATCCGCACTTATTCAGTTGTCAATCAGTGTCCGCAGGTACGGCATGTGCTTTGCACCCTCCAAGTGCAAAGTACTCCTACAAGACTGGCAGGATTCTAATCCTGTACTCACTCTGGATGGTGAGCAGATTGAAGTAGTTGAGAAGTTCGTGTATCTAGGTAGTTGCATAAGTGCTGGTGGTGGCGTGAGTGATGAGATCGATGCACGTATAATGAAAGCCAGAGCGGCTTATGCCAATCTGGGCCATCTTTGGCGCCTTCGTGATGTTAGTCTGGCTGTAAAAGGTCGGATCTACAACGCGTCGGTGAGAGCAGTTTTGCTCTATGCTTGTGAAACCTGACCTCTCCGAGTTGAGGATGTTAGACGTCTCTCTGTGTTCGATCATCGTTGTCTCTGAAGGATTGCTGACATTCAGTGGCAACACCATGTTAGTAATGCAGAGGTTCGGCATTGTGTGTTCGGGCGCAGAGACGATAACTCAATTGGTGTCACCATCTTGAAACACCGACTTCGGTGGCTTGGACATGTTTTACGAATGTCGTCCCAGAGACTTCCACGTCGTGCATTATTTGCCGACCCTGGGACTGGTTGGAAAAAGCGGAGAGGAGGTCAGTGTATTACATGGTGTCGTGGCATGATAGAGAGCTGCAAAGGGTTAGCTTCTGTTGGTCCTTCACGACTCCCTGGCTGGGGTCCGAGAGACGGTGCAACACAGTGGCTAGAGACGTTATCAGATATGGCTTAGAATAGAAGCCAGTGGCGATCCTGCTGCAACCTTCTTTTACTTTCTACATAAAGAATGGTTCTAACTTTCCTAACTGAAAAAGTCTTCTGGTTGTACATTTCAGTCCGCCTTATCTTTTCATCCCTTCTCTTCCTACTTTCATTATTTTGTGTGGCGCATATGTACCTGGTGCCCTTTTGTACCAATATATATGTGTTTAAATAAATAAATAATTTTGTAGATAGTGATAAGTTTCGAATTGTCCTCTTCAATAGCACTTACACAGGACGTGAATCTACACAAATTTATTTCACTGGAATAAGTTTACATTTACCATTCAGTATTTTTCGTTATATATCAGACAGAAAAACAGTCAAAATGTTTCAGATGCGATATTCTACAAGCAACTTATCAAGTAAACGTGGTAAATGTATCCACCGAAGAACATCCCATATAATGAATGTTCGACTTAACATATCATGCCATTAGGGAAAGTCGGTAGTGTGTAGTTTATGGCAAGAATATCCCCTATAATGAAAGAGTCTGCAGGTATACCTCCCAAAACAATGACTTTGAAGAGGATTAAGAACCCACCAATCAGCTCAGAGGTTTGTCTGACCAGAAATTCAAATGCTACTGACATAAAAACATTTAATTTTGCCATCTTGTACAGAGACATACCCTCTTTGTTGAACTTGTAGGTACTATTAATACCTACGGTATTCGAAAGTCGGGTGAGGGGTATATTTTCTACATGTTATTGAGAAAAAAATCACTCTAGACAACTGCTCTCTTCACGATGCATCTCAGTTCCACCTTCAAGATCGACGTTATGTGTAGCAAACGCCTCGAAATCACCTACTAAGTAAGGATTAAGATCACAGTTAGACTGACCTGGAAGTTTTGATCGTTTGAATAAACTTCGTCGAGTATAAAAACAACTTGAGCGATTGCTTTCCTTCTGTAAGTTTCACAGACAGAGTCAATGACAACAAAAGATACAGATCCGACTATCAATAAAGGATGAATCATATTCTTCTGATTCGATGACAAGAGGTTAAAGGGGGTATCTTTCGCATAAGTGAGACTCAGTAAATGGTGATTATGGCCTATTGGCCATCTAGATACAATGTAAGATCCTTCTATCGGCTAAATAAATAAATAGTATTCATAAACATTACCAACAGGTATTCTACATCACTGGATAAAAAAATTACTGTGAAACAAACCGTATAGCTTGAGAAGTTCTCAGTTGCTGGGATCGACCCTTCATTTTATGTAAATTTTATATAAAAATAATTTGGATTTCGATGACAGTCTCGTATCATGAAACGGCAGAAAACCACATTCTTAAAAGCTTTGAGCTATCTCAATTCTACTTCTTTTGGAAATCCTACACACCGACAAACATCTATTTCAAAACCAGACCAGCTTCATCATCCGAGACAGACATGGCACGCAGCAACGCTGACTAGAACTAATAATGACAACCTAAATTCACTACTTTTATGGGTTCGATAATAGGCATTTAATTGGCAAGTTAAAACGACGCTTTTGATTGATGGGACAAGGGCATAGGTGAATGTTGGGGAGGGGATATTTAAATAAATTTCATGCCCTTGAAAGATTATTCCCGTTTGAAACATTATTTTTTTGACAACGAGTTCAACATTCAGACTCGTTAACGTGGTTGGACGGTTTGTTTGATACATAGTTAATTATTGAACCATGTATTTCTATACGATAAATTTGATGTTTGATAACTTCTCTCGAAAAAGCTTAAACCAGATTGCCGAGAGAGACTTTAGATTTATTTCAATTTCAATCGATGAGATTTTAACAAACAAAACTTTGTTTTTCAGTGGCTGAACTCCAACTAAATAAGTGAGTGTTATGAAGCTCATTGTGTAAGAATCGCAGGTCATAGGTCCTGTTTTGAGTCATGGGTTTCCGCAGCTGAGTCATAAACAAGGTTGAAACAGCTGCCTAGTACTATTTCATTATTTTAAGTTTACGCAGCTAACATCATTTCATAAAGCAAATTACCTACAAATTTCCAATCATTGTTATCATGCTTTTCACTAATATTAGGTATCTGTATACTTACACAATTGTTGGACACATATTTGATCCAATGGCAGGTAATAGAGGAAATATAGCCAAACCACAACACGAAATGTGCCACAAAGAAAGAATTAACTGTGTTAGAGAAAAATAAAAATTCAAACGTGTAATAATAATAATCAATATCAAATGTGAGTAGATAGAAAACAATTGACTTTTCTCAAAAGAAAACTGCATTAATCACTTGTTTGCATTGTTTACTTGTTAAATTTTATTGGCAGAAATGTACACTCCAGTTTAATATTCTTTCTGTGAACTAAAACAAACATAGATAATATGATAGAATATCATAGTACTACTTTCAAAAGCTTTCTAGTGAATCTGGTTGTTGAAGAATAATTGGGCAACCTTCTAAGTGGGGAGACAACAACTATATCCACTTAGTTTTTGGAAAACAAAGTGGTTTTTGGTACTGAAAAAGCATGTCATACGTTCGTAAGCAGTAACTGAACCTCGTACATAATACGATGAAAAAACCACATCACAAACAAAGTGGAATGAGTCTTTGAAATCGTACGATTATCAAACCTTCACTAGACACGTCTTAAACAATCTACTTACTAATTACGATGATGACTTGCGAAATAATAACTCTTTTGAATTGACATATCACTACTGTCAAGTTCATTCAAATTGACCGACATTAATATATGAATAATTATAAGTCAGTAAGATAATAATGCCTACTATTGTTTACCTTTTCATGTGGTCTAAACGACTGATCTATGTAAGGCCACAGGGCAAACAATAAACATGCCAAAGATAGTAGATAACGATGAAAAAAGCCCCAGATCTGTTTCGAAATAGGAAAAAGAAAACAAAAACATTAGAAAATAACCATCAAATATTTAATATCATGTAGACTGCTAAGATTTGAAGAAAAAACGTAAGTAACTAGGAGGAAAAGGAATTGTTCCGATGGCAACCATTAGATACCAATATGATTGATAACGTTTTAATCTGTTTGATTCTACTGAACAATATTAGAAAAAAGAGGACTATTTCTCTGTAGATATTCAGTGGTGTAAATTAATTATTAATGAGTTAATTAAAAGCACCTTATGAATTCCGTGAAAGAACTTATCTTGCCTTATGAGAGACAAGTGCCGAAAGCTAGTGGTGTGGAGAATCAGAATCATTTCTACGCTGTTGAACCTCGAACAAACGAAAAGGTACGAAGTCCAACGAAGACATCATTTCAAATTTACATCACGTTTATATTTGAATTCAAACATCTATTTTTTTCAATTTTATGGTTGAATTCATGAGTCAATTTTTTTAGTAAAAATAAAATGCCAAAATCAATAACTAACTATGGGTTCGGTCTAATCAGTTGGAATTTTCCCAAAACATTGTTCAGTTAGTATATTATCATGGATTTTCACAACAAGCAATACGTACAATGAGAGGAGAAAACAAGAGACTAGTATTATGTAGTTTGTTTATTTTTTTACTAAGTGGTGTAACTTTCGGTAGTTGTAACTTTAGGCTCCACGGAATTAAGGCCGTATCAAAATTAGAAATGATAAAGAAATCGACAAAGCTTCTGTCACATTTTTTTAACGATGTTGAAGAAGAGACGAAAAAATTATAGTGAAATATACATAGATTAAGTGATCAGTATTAGAACAGGTTTTTAACTCTTCCTTTCTTGATATTCAGGATTGCATATGATCAATCTCTATTGGTATTATGTGCATCCTGAGTGTGTTCCGCGATCCCACGTATCCTCAATTAAATTGCTAGCCACAATCAAAATTAAAATCAACCAAATAATAGGTAGTAAAGAGCTTAACACGTAAGCGTCAAATTTTAGTCTGATCAACTTATACTATGTTAACATTACACTAAAAAACTAAGTGTGAACTGAGGACATAATGTACACCTTCATAACGCTAATAAATAATGGTCTACCAAACTACTGAATGATTTGTAGTAGTGTTGGTGGTGTTGCATACTACTCTTCATGATATTCACCTTCAACAATCACAAAATATGTTACCGATTCTCACATTATAAATATATGTCAAGTTGATAAATTGACTTTTACATTCACAGACTAGAGACTGTATACATAAATACGATAGGATTAGGTAGATATATAGTATGTTATCCTGGCACATCAAATAAAACTGACTACTCAATGACTATTTAAAATATGAATTACATATTTCATAATAAACAAAACATTTCAAATACTTAATATCATGTAGGAAATTTCATATACAAACAAGGTGTAAAACTCACAAGCAATTCAAGCAAACAAATAGAAGCAAATGTAATTGAACAAACAGTATAAAGAGATGGAACTTCATAGTTTGTCGAGAACAATCCATTCCATATATAATTAATCAAGGTTAATAGTTGTTTTCGTCGAGTTGTTGAATAGTTTAATGATAATACTAGAATAAGTGGAACCAGTTGATATACAGTAGGTCCAAATGACCAAGAATTAGCTACAAATGATGGAGGATTTTTAAAATAGTGATCATAATTATGATATGACTGAATGAATCACATTAAACAACAAGAATCAACAGCGATATACGATTGTTACCTCTGCATATGATCTTGAGCCACACGAATATTAGAATACAATACCTAGTTTTTAAGTGCGAAAATAGTTTTTTTCAATGAAAGTACAAAACATTTTCACTAACATAAAACTAACTATATTGGGAAAGTAATTGAATAATTTGGAATGATGAATCTAACAATAAAGTAAACCATTATTCAAAGAACATGACAACACCAAACAAGTTTTAAAGTAGACAAATTTCTAGTTCATTAACTATAAACCTAAATTACTAAAGGCTGATTTAGACGCTTTCTATGAGCTTAAAATTTGATACACTTTTTATTTAATAATATTTTAACATATTTATCAATAATGGATAGTGGCTAGCAGTGGAATCCAGGACGCGCGTTTCGTCCTATTTGGGACTCGTCAGCTGGATGTACCTGCATCTCAGAGTTGATGTTCACTCCGAGACTCAAACCCAGTACCTTTCGCTTCAAACGCCATCGCGTTATCCACTCGGCCACTGAGTCCTGATAGCCACTTGCTTGTACAATGGGGTGAAGTTTAAATTCACTTAGTGTTGTTTGTTTGAATCTTCCAAATGATGTTTTAGGATTGCAATTGATCAGTCTCTAATTGGCATATGTGCATACTGTGCGTATTGCCTGAATATAGCCTTAATTCACAAGCATTATAATCAAGGATGACTAGCAGTGGAATCCAGGAGGCGCGTTTCGTCCTATTTGGAACTAGCTAGTCACTATCCATCTTTGCTTACCATGCTTTTGAATTTAGGCTATATCGAGGCAATACGCATAGTATGCACACATGCCAATTAGAGACTGACCAGTTGCAGTCCTAAAACATCGATGGGAAGATTCAAACAAACAATACTAAGTGAATTTATATTTATCAATAGGTTTAATGAAATATCAAATTTATCCTATCTAATTGTTCCATTTAGACTACAGCATTAGCTAGAATTAGTATTTTGATTCGACACTAATCACTTATGGTAATGATTTCAATAATTATTGATTAAATTGAAGAACAACAAAATACAAGTGTATGATATAACTAACCAAAAGTCAAAACTAATAGACCGAATCCAATCACAATACAATTAATCAATGTCCAACAGAAACTATTTAAATAACTTTCATGGTTTGTACACTCTACATTATCGCTTCGATCAAATAAACGACAAATTATCACTAGACTCCATAAGAAGAATGTTGATGATACACAAAATCTACATATTTAGAAAAAAGGAAACATAAGAAGTAATTTTGAAATGAACTTGAATAAATTACAAGCTAGTACAGTTTAAACATTGAATTTTTTTAACAAATCAAATTAGTTAATTGAATAATTGACGGAACTCAGTAATTAAGAACATATATATGTACTTTATTTTAAGATGAAGATATTTGTGAGAATGATTAGTGGTGTTATCCAACCGATCAAACTGAAGTAGGCAGATACAGATTTAAAACTGTGACTCAACGAAGAAATTCAACCAAATATCAGTTTAGTCATGTTGAATTTGTAAAATCGAGGATACTAATATAACGGATGGTTTAAGATATTTTCTCGCTCTCATGGATACTTAAATAATACGTTAGTACGACTAGTCACGTTATATGATATCCAGGATTCACGATACAGAATAGAGGATCAGAGTATAGCTTACATAACATGTTGTTCAACACAATTACAAGCAATCACTCTCGATGAGTTTGGAATAGAAATCATTGACAGTAAGGGAAATCAAATATTTAATACTCGGTCGGATAAGTGACTTTTTCCAAACTTGTTATGTAGTAGCGAAGACATAAGTACGGGTAACTTGCAGGACCTACTATTGGACTATCATTCTTATTGTATAACTATTCGGTAACTAGATTATCTAAGCTTTATTTTGACCTATTGATTATTACTATATGATTTACTGTCCCTATGTTATACTCAGTTTTATTGATTATTGTCTCCCACGCTTACAGCCTCATTTGGCCTGGTTTTGTACAATTATTATTTTCTATTATGTGGTATGATGTGGCCTGTCTGTCTGATATATAAACAAAGTATGCTTGGAATAAACGATTCGCATTACAGCAGCTGCTATTGGTGTTTTTGGACTCAAGTGGACGGGTAGGCGGATAAGGACCAATAAGGACGCTAGATTACTCATATTAATCGAACGTCATTGTCACAGTGTGAAGGTCGTAGAAGGCGTATTCTATTGGTGGTGAATTACGACCTTGTTAAATTCGCAAGGTCATAACGAATCAGCGACGACCTTGATCAAGTCATAACAATTGGCTACAGTCTAGGTCAAAAACATAACAAAACTCATTGATCAATAATACTCCACTTTCACCACCATGTATCAGCTACCCAATATCGTACAAATTGTATAGTGACGTTTTATTTCAGGACTAGATGCCTGGGTTATGCACGGTCAGTTATAGTCTGTCTATAGGCACAATGTTGGCTGGAGTAGGAATAGGTTGGAAGAAAGTTAAAGGACACGGACCGTGACATTATCAGTTTATAAACTTAATGACTGTTGGAATGGGTCATGTCGATAAGCGCAGGCTGTATTTGAGTTCCAGGTGATAACTAGACTCAGTAGTTGGACACGTTAAGAGATACTGCTCAGAATCCCCAACAGTAGGTACTACCTTGACGTGGTAGTCATAATGACTTAACCAAGTTACATTGACTGGAACACGTATTTCTTCAGGTCCTGCCATGTCAGGCAAGTCGGTTGAGAATGTTAAGACTAAAAGCAACAAACGCAGGCTCCGAGGGCGAATTCGTACTTCTGACTGTACAGAGAAGTGTGACAGAAGCAAGGTGTTTCTAGCAAACAACCGGCATAACAATGATGCTGCTTTCCCACAAAAGAAGGGCGAGGTTAGAAAAGGTCAGTCCTGAAAATGTACACATCACCTTATACCACAAAATCCCATCTCTGGTGGTAAAGTATTTTAAAGTGAGGAGCCAACTCATTAAAAAACTTACCATAAAAAGGCCGTGCACGACCGATCTCAAGCGGTTATCCCTTGGGTTTTGCGGTCACACTCCCAGGTCACTAAGACCACCACGAATTCAACTTCATTTTCAGGCCCCTCAAAAAGAAATATCCTTCCATGGTGTGGGCAACCAGGAAGTGACAACTATCCTCATACCTCTACCAGCACCCGAGATCATCTTGCTGACGATTGCATCACAGCCTCACCTCTTATTAATTCTTCCAACCTCATGACAAACCCTTCTCATTTATCTTCATCACCACGCACCACAAATATCATTCATCTGAATTCACAAAATGCTATTCCTAGTCTCCTGAAACTACGCTCTACATAACATGTTGAAGCTTTAAATGTTCGCACCTTGTGTCACATAGGACAACAAGCTTCTTTAACTAGGAATCTAGGATCTCGCACCATCAACGTATGCTGCGTCACCGAAACGCGCTTACAGGATCGAAGTAAGGTCATTCATTTGACCTCACTTTATCAATAAAAACAACCGGCACGACTTACCCTCCGAGTAACTGGAAACCCCACTGCCATTTTACGCGGCCTCTCCGGTGAAGATATAGCATTAAGTTCTAAAGCATAATAGGATCTCCTAGACCGGATGATAATAGACAGACACTTTTGCGCTGTCAGAATAAACGAGATAGTAAGAACTCGAAAAGATAGGGATATGCACCGTTGTTTTTTTGTCTCTGTCTACGCTCCCATTAATTGCAGCTCAGATAAAGTTAAAGATAAATTTTATAGGAAGTTATCTGCTATATCCCGAAGAGAATTATGAAGGGTAACTTTTGAGGACTATTTATGGACCAATGGGATATGTATATTTCCTATTGTAAAATTGTTAAGTAACTAAACTATTCGTATTTGTTTTTCTCTTATCGTAAGCTTTATTTTGACCTATAGACTATCATCCAGCCTCGACAGTAAATAAATATCTCAGTTCCCATTTGCTTAATAAAGGAAGTCATAGCTTCTAATTAGGAGTTCAAGAAACCCGTCGTAAAGCTGGTCATCAGTGCAGAATTTATTGATAAAGCATCCTAGAGACTTTTTGTTTATCATTAAAAGGCAAATTACAAAAAACGTGTCCATAAGACACATAGAACAAAAACAAAAATACACTTACCCTAAGTATAATCTATCATATTTATGATAATAGTTCAGTCCGTTTAAAGCCAAACTAGTTAGGTGTTTGTACTCTTGAATCTAGAAACAAAGTTATGCATTATGTAAATACATTGAGAATTTTCTATCAACTTACTGCTTCATGATACTTTCCAGAAGAAATAAGTGATTCACAAACATTTTCCATATTATTAATATCTGACATTTTTAAAGATCTGTGTATGAAGAAATAAAACAGTTCGAATTAAGGGCAATGTGTAATTTCAACAGATGACTTTAGTGTCAGTGATAAATTATAGTGATTACCAATATTCAACCTATTATTATTATCTTAGTTGAGAAATGTAAAAAGTTAATTCTACTTAACGGGATTCATAATTTATTTGATATCTCCTCAGTGCAGCGGAGGCTTTGTGACAAACACACTTAGTTTTTAACCAGTAGGTCGCAGACTTGAACCGCACTTCACCTATTCCCGTATCGGCAACTGGGCAGTACCATTAGTCATGAAAAAGCAGTGTAACAAGAAAGTTGTGCCTAATCCGATTGGTGGTTTTTGACCCAAAATTTAGATAAAGACGGACAGGAACGATACACAACCTATTTTCTGTTTGTAACGAAGTGAGTGATCATCATCCTAAAGCACCAGTATTCATTTATTGAAGATGAAAATGAGAAGAGTATCAAAAATAAAAATGGTGGTTCGATTGAGGAACAAAACACGTAATAAGTAGAAATAAAAGACAAAAGATGTTATGATTTCCAAGATTCAGAGAAAAAATAGAAGATGAAGAATGAATCATTTTTAAGACAATTAAATCCTTTGGCCATCAATTTCGATCGTCTAATGAAGTCAAGAATGTGAATTTTTTATTGAGATCATGAACCGATCGATGTTAGACGACTATTGAAAGCTTGGAAGCACGGGACGGCCGTCTCGTCTTAGTATGGGACTCCTTAGAAGTGAGTGTCCACGATCCCGCTCACGGAATCCGAATCCAGGGCCTCAGATCTCGCGCACGAACGCTTAACCCCTATGTTGGGATGATCCTGAAAATTTTTCGCAATAGACAAGATAAGCTCAGGAAACATTAAGAAGCATTTTATCCCATCAGCGTTTGATTAGAAGTTTTGCTTGAAATATCGCGAAAATGAAAAGTTACATGTAGAGGTTCTGATTGGCTGATTAATACACTGCCACTATGTTTAGTAGTATTCTAGAATTTTCAGGAAAACCCAAGGACTTCTAAAATACTATAAAAACCCTATATTTTCTGTACATAATCGAACCTTCAGAGTAAAGTGCTTCTAGTATATTTTGCGCCTTTTCTATCGTGTTCAAGCCGCTGTGTAGTTCTAGCTTGGGGGTTACGAGAATAGCTTAGGATCCGAGTATAGCGTTCAGTCAGCAAAGATTTATCACTCTGGACCACTGAGCCGGCATTCAACGGTATTAATGTCTAACCTCAACCTCAATCATGACCACTGGAGCTAATTCACTTCAGGTAGAAACAGGTATCTATCTCACAAAATGGAAGATGGTCACACAATTTTGTGGATTGGTTGAGGTTAGACATTAACACCATTGGATGCCGGCTCAGTGGTCTAGAGGTTAGGCGTCTTGGGTTCGACTCCCGGGAGAGAGATCGCGTATGCTCACTTCTGAGGAGTCCCATACTAGGACGAGACGGCCGTCCCGTGCTTTCAGGTTTTCCATAATGGTCTAACATCGACTGGTTCATGATTTCAATAAAAAACATAATAATCTCCACAACCCTACATTGATAATGTGAACTTTGTACATGACAATTAATTTAGATCTATTACCTAGTACGCTTCACTCGATATATGCATTGTTCACTCAATGGTTTCACTGCACCTAAGCAATGCTTGAAAGATAGTTATGACTAGATAACAATAAACTTTAGATGTTCATCAACTTCAGTTGTTGTTACATAACGGTAAAGTAATAAAGACAGGTTCAATTTCAGAATGATCAACTTTTATGCTGACTACAGTTCAAAAAGCTAATGTAAAATAAATGACAGCACGACATTAAAAAACAAGATTTTCTAGGCTTAGAATCCCAATAAAACATGAGTATAACAGGTATTAACATCATTGTAACTGGGTAAGCATGTACAGGGTTGATGCATGAAATTAATGTAACCAGTTATATCACACTTAAATAATGAGGAATACAGATTTATCTGCTCGTTTTTACCGCAATGGTTAGAGAGAGTTAGAACCTGAAAAGTGATGATTGAAATTTGAGTAGTTAAATCATTGAATTATTGTTACATGAATCCGACTTTCAATCATCAGGCGAATGTACTGATTTCATGCAAAACCGTTTGTAATTATCAAAAACATCCATCCATGATGGAAAGTAGACCAGCCAAGTTAAGTGAATGAATGAAGTGCATTAATGAAACAAAAGTTACCATTTTTTATTTGATAAAACGAAGAAGCATATAACTGACCAAACAAAATGATATATATATATATACTTACGGGAATTCTCGGAACAAAATACTGAAGTGAGATTTCTTTTTTTCAGCGTACTTAATCTATAATAATTCATAAAAATATGCATATATTTCTGTTTCAAATTTGATAAGGCACAAACATATCACAATTTGAGCTCCAAGAGAGGCACGACAAATAAATTAATATAACAAAACCATTATTAGAGAAAGAAGAGGACAAAGGATGATAACAATTACAATTGGAGATACACTTGAAAAACATGCATTCAAGTAGCTTATGTTACTACAAAAGTTATGTTCATTATATTTACTTGGCAATGGTTTCTGCGACAAGAGTAAAAAAATTAAACTATGTCTCTAGTGCTTAAAGTAGAGAATAAAAAGGTATCCTGCGGCCAAACTGATTACCTTGTACGAACCAACATGCTCTTTAATGGAATCAAAGATTGATAGGTATTCTATCCATATTACCGTCAACTAAGTGCATAAAATAACATATATCCTCTATATCAGTTACACTGATGGAACACAAGTAAAGGCCTACGTTCGTTCCTATGATCATGTTCCAAGAAGTCGTCGACTAAACGAAATAAAAACTTTGAGTACTGCTTTGTCAAGGCATCTGTTTGATACACGGTGGAGCGTTAGTACCTTGGAAATTTACTAGTTTAAAGCAACTTAATGGAGAGATTCAGTACTCATAGAATTCGTCATAACATGAGAAACTCCATACTATGAGATTTAGACAAGAAATGTCAATAAATTCAACTTAGTATTGTTTGTTTGAATCTTCCCATCGATTTGTTAGGACTGCAACTGGTCAGTCTCTAATTGGCATATGTGCATACTGTGCGTATTGCCTCGATATACCTTAATTCACAAGCATGGATAGCAGAGATGGATAGTGGCTAGCAGTGGAATCCAGGACGCGCGTTTCGTCCTATTTGGGACTCGTCAGCTGGATGTACCTGCATCTCAGAGTTGATGTTCACTCTGGGACTCGAACCCAGTACCCTTGCTTCAAACGCCATCGCGTTATCCACTCGGTCACTGAGTCCTGATAGCCACTTGCTTGTGCGATGGGGTGAAGTTTAAATTCAACTTAGTATTGTTTGTTTGAATCTTCCCATCGATTTGTTAGGACTGCAACTGGTCAGTCTCTAATTGGCATATGTGCATACTGTGCGTATTGCCTCGATATACCTTAATTCACAAGCATGGATAGCAGAGATGGATAACGCGATGGCGTTTGAAGCGAGGGTACTGGGTTCGAGTCCCAGAGTGAACATCAACTCTGAGATGCAGGTACATCCAGCTGACGAGTCCCAAATAGGACGAAACGCGCGTCCTGGATTCCACTGCTAGCCACTATCCATCTCTGCTAGAAATGTCAATAGTTTGTGAAATTCCTAAAAAGTACCTTAAGTTGCCCATATATTTGAAGCCAGTTCGCTCGTGTTAACTTCACTTTATCATATTCAGGAATCTTCAAAAATTCAACAGGAACTTGACCCTAAGATTAAAAGATGAAAATTTAGGAATTAAGCATAACCAATAAAAGGTCATATGGAAGGCACACAAAAAGTGTAATAATTAAACCGTTTAAAGAAGGAAAATCACAGTTTTACTTGTTACAGGTTTCATCAAGCTATAAACTACAACGCACGTAAAATGTCACTAACTTTTCGATTGACCTACTATAGAATTGACTGGGATTGGGACACCCAAAAGACTAGCCATTAATGGGCATAAATCAGCCTGCTGAATTTCACGTCGAAGACGTCCATAATTATGCAGTGGTAAACCATACATGTCTATTTTATCCCCCAATAGATTGTTCACACCTGTTTCTATTTCCACTGGACCAACGATACCAGAGCCCCAAATTAACAAGGGTGTTACTGTTTCATGAAAAGAACCGGACCCATGACTTCCTGTGAAATGTAAATAATCATAAAAGATAAATGTCACTCTCATTTAGTAACATGTCGCTCATGTTAGATGTGTATGAAATATTTGTATACATCAGTTAGTTAACGCTTCCAAAATACACTTAGAAATTTCATAATGATAAAAAAACAATTAACGTTATTTAGCAACTCCATGAAGAAATTATGAAACAATAACACACTGGATGTTTGATAGAAGGTAGGCATATAAAATCAAGATTACCATCATGTTAGCTAAAAGAAACTGAAAAACTCTCAATCTTAGTTCAAGAGATAGTTAGCAGGTGTTCAAACCTGAAAAAATAAACGTGGTGGTTTAGACTATGGCACTGATCAGCCAGGTTCTATGCATTGCACATTTATTAATGACGATCTTATTTAAAATGGTAGAATACAGAATGAGGATAACAAAATCCACTAAACTTAAAGTCTGATATTGCCTCAAAATATTAGGACTTTGTTGTCCCATGTTCATAATTTTTGCCGCCTATCAAATGAACTTGAGAACTTAGTCATGATTTTCAATACTTAAATAAACATTGTAACAATTACAAACACTTCATCATATCCGAATCGTTCAGGGTGACAATACGTACAAGCAGGTAATGAACTTATATTATTATTGAGAAACACTTTAAATTTTGTTCAATAAATATCAACTAACCTAAAGTATTTGCTGTCAACCTCTGAAGACTAGTTAGTCATGCAAATAGTGATGCTGAAGTAAACATTTATTTCCATACCTAATAACTTTGACTTTTAAGAATTTGCAGAGTGTTAGGCAAACAGCAAGAATCACATCAATGAGACCGTAAACTAGTACCTACTGAAGTATTGAGGCATAATTAAGTTTATTTTGTATCGCAATGCGTTATAACAAGCTGAGTGAGAGAATAATGAAACAAACATTAAAATGGTCAGAAAACAGCATAGCACTGGATAGTGAAAACTTTGATGCATAGTCACAGCCACATTATGAATTGGAAGATTTACGGGTTAGGATAGTAAGAACCATTGAAATCAGTTGCCAGGTGCTTAAAACGATTTAACGCAAACAATAGCGATTGGGAGGAAACGATTATCTATCACGTTATAAATAGAGAATATTTGATTATCCTAAAGTATGTATTTCGCTTCCAGAATTTTCTCCACCTCTGACCCTTCTAGTCTTACTATATATATATATGAAATCTAACGCATTGGATCAACACATCCTTGTGACAGTGTCATACACTGACTTCGCCACCTTGAAGATCGAAATACAAAACGTCTGACTCATAATATTACATTTATTGACTAACCATGAAAATAAACCATCACTACTAACCCCATTCAGTCATTCCATGATCAGAAGTAAAGATATAGGCAATACGTGAATCAGTTCCACGAGACTTTTCAGTTAGCTTGTGATAAACTTGAAAGACTACATTGTCCAAATTACGAAGAACTTCAGTGTATTCACGTGAATCAGGTTTAAAAGAATGACCAACCATATCAGCTGCATCCAAGTGTAGGAATATCATTCGACCTTGACGGTAATCGCTAGACGTTGTATTAAGGTTATCAAAAAAATCACCCGAATGATCAATGAAATCCTACAAATATACACAAAATATTTGTAACTGTTTAAACTGGATATATTTTTGCAATAAATGAGCTAAAATTTAGTCTTAAAATGTAACTGCTCGACTATGAGCACACATTGAAACAGACGTAAAAACTGAGAAAATACATAGACAAGAGCTTAATACTCGTTTTTACGCTTACAACTGTTTACGATTAAATGTGAAATAAAAACATTTCAACTGAAAGCAATGTAGTACGCTATGACCAGTCTACCTAGATGAGATCTCAAACTATTTCAAGACATCACGAAGATAATCTGTAATACTGCAAAACAGCAATGTGGAGCATGACTACTTTTATCACTATGTGCCGGTGTATTTTGAACTTTATATATTTCATGCTTCTAATGAATCCGCTAATTACTTGACCATAAGATATAGTCCAAAATATTCAAGTAAACAAACTTCATAGAAAAAGATTTTTATGTGAACTTCGGTCCTTTCTTGTCGATGATGAGAACTTCCTGCTACCGCTTCTTTTTTATTACTTTCTAGTAGTACATGGACAATTTAAGTCTAGTGATCGTGTTTTCTCTAGATTTTTTGTCACGAGAATTTCGTCTCTCACTACTTGCATCCCCTAGCTCTGATTTTTCTAATAACCTGGAAACATATGAAACTCTGAGATCAGTGTACAGCTAAGTATTCTACACAAATTATATGATCAAACAAAACCAAAATGCTTTATTCATCAGATATCCTTTACATATAATGACTATACGAACTGAAATATAAAATAGTCATTTGACCCCAATGCTTTTCACAACCATAAATAGGCTAAATTCGTAACCAATACTTGAAGTACGCACGAAAGATTGAGATATATTGGTTAGTGCGGCTGAAACAAACGGTAAAAATAAGACAGTAAACTTAAAATCAATAAACAAAAGAGCCGTTACACACTACTTCATATTAATGAATACTTATATGTGTAGAATTTAGCCTGTAGTGTCTAGTGAACTGATACGTGCTCGTATACTCTGTCCTTCATTCACTGGGAAAAGAATCCAAAAGTAACATACCAGAAACTGATTGACAACCCATCGATCGATTTCAGTAGGATTTGTTTTAGCCAGGTCACTTAATTCATCAGGACAAGGAGTCGCTTTAATATGATTTGTAGAGGGAGGAACAAATGACATGACAACTTCCTTGTAACCCCATATCCAAGCCAGAAAAGAACGGTTTAGTACAGAATCGAATTCCACAGGATTCACTTTCCATCCTGAAGGTTAAAAGCAGTTTAAAATATAAATTGACATTTATAGAGAAGAATCGAGAACAGGACTATTTTGACACATATGATAATTTCATTTGGTTTTGACAGTAAATTCATAACAATCTAGTTTTTTTAATTTACGTAAATATTGAGGATATTACCTGTGTTTAGAACTAGTCCTTAGTAAAAACTGTATTTTTAAAATTAAAGTGAACATTCAATAGTTGCATTTACTTTTAATTTAACGGATTCTGTCTGTTAATTTCGTCTCCTCTGGATATCAATTTTTTTAAGTGCCTTGACAATAACTTGCTATTCATTAGTGATTACCACTTAGGTAGACCACAATGACGAACAACTAGACTAAAAACTAAATGTATCTCCCCCCTCCTATAACAGTGTTTATAAAGTATGCAAACCTTAGGCGTATGAAAATTGTATGTAGCTTTCTACATTTGAAATTAGAATATCGATAAGATAAGAACAAACGTTTCACCAATATTGTAGGTTTTTCACTTCTAAATCTCACCAACACCTCATCTCTTCATTTAGCTCAATCATTCGTAAACGATTAACACTTAAACACATCAATCAACTTAACAAAAGTACTACATCCACAAACTGTATTCTGTAGAATTTATGTCTAAGAATAACTGAAAGGACAAACATTTACTAGACTAACCATGATTTGTTGGGCAATTTTAATCCACAATTTACCACTTAATTCCCTTAACTATAAAGTTTTATTATTCTCAGATATTTCCGAACAAAAATTAAGAAAGTAAAGAAACTATGAAAAACAACCTTTAGTTATAGAAGCCACATCTTCGTTGAATCCTCCCAACATAGCCACGTGTGCGGGTCTTGACTCGGTAGGGACTCTTGTATGCGAAACACCCCATAAACCACGGTGTAGGAGGACATCTCTGTATAGACAAATATCCAAAAAAGAACATCGTAACTAAAGTGAATACCTGTGCATTCTAGTGACCCTATAGTGTGTAAAAGGCGATCCGAATAGTATTACAGAACATGGAAATCTGAATGTATTTCCTTCAGCATTAGACTCAAGATGCTTCGTTAAATTTTAGTTGCTGTGTTTTATAGAGACAATATCATAAATAGTTTGATAGTTCTATGATACAGCAGACCATAAAATAAGTACAGCACATGAATAATACATAAGCACCTTTTATGAGATTTTAGTCAAATCAAACTTACGTCTTCAATTTGATGTATGTTGATAAACAATAAGCATTATTAAGTGGTAAAGGCGGGACCCTTTTGCATAAATGACCAAAAACTGGAAAATATAAAAATTCTTGGAAAGAAATAAGTAGAACATTTCGTAAGAATATTGTTTTAGTACGGCCAAAAATATACGTAGTGATAAGATTTCTACTGTTATAAATAAAAGAGAAGGTATCGTAGTTATCTGATTTCGCATGTTCACGCGATACCGGTATTGATATTTTCATCCGCAAGATCCTTATATATTCATGAAATTTCCCGAGCGAAAGAAATATTTCAGGATAAATAACAACAAAAAACGACAAACCCTGTTAATGGTAACTGATAGACAATTTCAACAAATATGTAGAATTGATGCTTCGAAAATAACACAGATGAAGTAATTAATTAATAGTGATTTGTGAACATCTTAAAAATTCAACGCTCGGAAGATTCAACAACCTTGGTAAACAGTTTGTGTTGAAAGTGAAAAGTGGATCTTAAAATCCAAGTGACTCTTAGCAATATATTCTCTCTTGACAGTAAGCAATAGCTTCAACCCAAACTAAATGAAAATCGTAGAGACCAAGAGGTTTTAAAAGCGACTTTTGGATGAAAAATGCACAAATGAATGACTTTCTGTTGATATAATGATTTTAAGACTATTTCAAAAACGAATGTCGGAAGGATGAGCTACTTTTATGGATTATTACGGATCCATGAATGCAACTGAAAAGCAGGAGCAGGTGAGTGCAAATAAATTTGGGTTCCCTGAATCTAAACATGACAACAATTTCACAGAATTAAAGAGTAACTCGGATCTATATGGGTTATAATAGTCCATTTAGTTAAGATTCCCGAATCGGTTCCAAATTATGGGTTTAAGAAACAGGTTTTGTGTTTAAAGTTAGCTACAGCCGTGCATCAATTCACAGGCTACACCTTATTAAGCTTAATTAATAACTCAGCCCACCGATGTTAACTCGTTTCTTCAACTATTTGGTTACTTCTTGGCCCATAGTTCATATACTGACCAAGAATACCGATAACCTCGAGGCAAAGAAAATTCCTTATTAATAAGGAAGAACGTTAAACGACTAGAGGGCGAATCCAAAACCAAGTTTTAATTTTAATATAACCGCTAAATTACCTTAAAAAGGGAGTATATTTCATATCTTGACTGAATATTTTGTCTGCTCGAAGCCCATCGGAAACCATGAAGATGACGTGAGTCGTTGGAGCACTAATATTCAACGGGATGATATTCATACCATGTGTAAGTGGGGATGTATAGTATATGTCGAAAATAGAATAGAATTGTACTAAATTCACGACAATTATGACTAAAACCTCGAAAATGCGAGGCATGACCTTCGGTACGAATCGCCGCTACGTTTTCTCACAATATTGGACACAACAAAAGCGTGAGGTCAACCATCCGTTCCTTAATTTTGACAAGAGTGAAATGTATATCACTTTCGAGTCGTTTTCGCACATTAAATCAATATTTGTTAATCACAGTTATGTTTATTTCGTTGAGGGTTTCAGATAAGTAATCTAATGCTGTCTACATATATCTTTGCAAACACCACACTGTAGCACATCTCAACTAACAGGATCAATAAGTAAATATAGTGAAACTTTGATCCTGAAATGTCCATTGTACTCCGTGCTTCCCGTCAGATGTTGAGGTCATTACAATCCAGTCAATCACCACTAGAACGAGGAAGGGGGAGAGCAGACAGCCATTTCTGACTCCACTCCTTACCGGGAATGCATCTGTCAGCTGTCCTCCATGCACTATTTGCACTGTAGTCCGTCGTATGAGATCCGGATAATGTTGAAAATCTTCTGAGAAGCTCCATAGTGTCGAAGAAGTTTCCATAATGTTCTCCGGTCTACACTGTCAAACCTCTTCTCATAGTCGATGAAGTTGATGTATAGTGACGAGTTCCACTCAACTGATTGTTCCATGATGATCCTTAGTGTCGCAACCTGGTCTATTCAGCAGCTCCTCGAAGTATTCTACTCACCTCGTTCTTCTGTTCTTGAATCTCCGTGATTATCTTTCCTTCTTTGTCGTTGGCGGGTCCCGATTCAAGAACAGAAGAACGAGGTGGGTAGAATACTTCGAGGAGCTGCTGAATAGGCCAACCACACTAAATCCACCAGACATCGAGGCAGCACACACTGGCCTTCCTATAGACGTCACTTTACTAACAATCGGAGAAGTCAAGATGGCTACCAGACGAATCAAGAGCGGGAAAGCGGCAGGACCTGACAATATATCAGCTGAAGCACTGAAGTAACTGCAAACATGCTTCACCTTCTATTCAAGAAGATTTGAGAGGAAGAACTAATGCCACAGACAGACTGGAAAGAAGGATACCTCATCAATATACCAAAGAAAGGAGTTCAAGTAAATGTGAGAACTATAAAGGCATCAGTTTGCTGCAGTGCCAAGAAACGTTTTTAACAGAGTGCTACTGAACTGGATGAAATACATGGTGGACGCCCGACTTTGAGATCAACAGGCTGGATTCCGAAAGGATCGGTTGTGAATAGACCAGGTTGCGACACTAAGGATCATCATGGAACAATCAGTTGAGTGGAACTCGTCACTATACATCAACTTCATCGACTATGAGAAGAGGTTTGACAGTGTAGACCGGAGAACATTATGGAAACTTCTTCGACACTATGGAGCTTCTCAGAAGATTTTCAACATTATCCGGATCTCATACGACGGACTACAGTGCAAATAGTGCATGGAGGACAGCTGACAGATGCATTCCCGGTAAGGAGTGGAGTCAGAAATGGCTGTCTGCTCTCCCCCTTCCTCGTTCTAGTGGTGATTGACTGGATTGTAATGACCTCAACATCTGACGGGAAGCACGGAGTACAATGGACATTTCAGAATCAATTAGATGATTCGAACCTCGCAGATTACCGGGCCCTTCTACTTCATACACACGAGAAAATACAAACGAAGACAAAAAATGTAACAGCAGTCTCTGCATCAATAGGCCTCAACATACACCGAAGAAAAAGTGAGATCCTCAATTACAACGCAGAGAACGCCAAACCTATCACACTTGATGGCGAAACTCTGGAAGAGGTGGAAACATTTACGTACCTGGGAAGCATCATAGGTGAACAAGTCGGATCCGATGCAAATGTAAAGGCGAGGATTGGCAAAGCAAGGACCGCATTTCTACAACTGAATAACATATGGAACTAAAAACAACTGTCAACCAACTTCAAAGTAAGAATCTTCAATACGAACGTCAAGGCAGTCCTACTGTATGGAGCTGAAAAGTGGATTACTATTACATCCATTGTCAAGAAGATACAAGTATTTATAAACAGTTGTCTACGCAAAATACTCAATATTCACTGGGCAGATACTATCAGCAACAGCGTTTTATAGGAGAGAATAAACCAGCTTCCAGCTGAAGAGGAAATTAGGAAAAGATGTTGGAAGTGGACAGGACATACATCACAGAAATCACAAAACTGCTTCACGAGGCAAGTCCCAACTTGGAATGCTGAAAGGAAGTAGAAAAGAGGAAGGTTAAAAAACACATTGCGCCGAGAAATAGAAGCGTATATGAAAAGGACGAACAACAACCGGATAGAAGTGGAAAGGATCACTGAGGGCGGGGTGGGATGGAGAGATCTGATGAGCGACCCATGCTCCTCCACGAGGGATGACAGGCATAAGCAAGTGATTCACTTGTATGTTGTTTACAAAGGTGTTGCTTGTGTTTGTAGCGGTAAATAAATTCCCAAAATCAATATCTCTGTAAGTGTTCGGCTTTGGATGCTGACCACATTACTTTTAATGGACTCATTTAGCTGAAGGCGCTCGGTCATGCATTCCCACCAGATCACGATTAGGAACGGAGTACTCAACGTATCCTCTGATCACTAGCCAGATTAGATCAGTCACACCTCGATATATTAATAACCTATCAAATATATTTTCCAACCTCCTCGCTTCTGACTTTTGATTTCACTGGGTGGGCGCGATTCAGTCATAGATGTTACTGATAAAGCATTGTCAAACTACAATACCTATGGTATCTTCATCTTTATCAAAACACCAAAAATTTTCGTTGGCCTTCACTTTTCAAAATATCTAAGAACCAGTGAACAAATGTTAACAATTGGCTCACACGTAATTAGACGTCGATGCGAAATGTCAGAGCCTGCGTTAATATAAGTTATGAGATTAAGTGACATCCCATGTTAATGTTTTACGTTAGTTAATTGCTTCTGAATCCTCCGGAGATGTCCGTGCATATCAGACATGTTACAGGAAAACTAAGTTTATAGCTATCTCCTGAAAGTTCATTCATTTTCATTTAGAGTAAATTCGGTAGCGAACTGGCTTCTCGATCCTTGGAACCTTCGACTACCACATAGTCAGTACGTCATTTATGATGAAGAAACTACTGTGATGATATTACAACATCAATAATACTTCCAGTAGGCACATTTTCATGTGATGCTCATCGTCATCTGAGATTTGGAACTGGGTGGACTCTGAGGATTGTCCCTCAATATGGAAAACATAAATTTCTACCCTTAGATTTAAGACGCCACCATATAATGATATAACCAGTGGTAGGCCTATTAATGTGATCTCTGTGCTTTATGAATCACAATCAGTTAATATCATTTTTACGCGCCGTAGGCTATACTAAACTTTATATTAGTGGGTTTATGGCTAAGCGCCCTTACGAAGATATGTTGGTCAGTTATTGATAATTTTATGCTCACATTGTAGCTAGGCCCTCGAAATTGTCTCACACAACCTTATAACTTTTTTGACTTGACGCAAAAAGTTTTTCTTATCATAGTTCAAATGCTCGGCTCCCAAGGTCATGTGGTTCGGGTCTAATGCTATTACACTACTCTCCCACAAGAGTCAACGTGACGTTGGCTCGATACTGAACTGAGTGGGATTTTCGCGCGCCAGAGGTTGCCGAGAATGATGAGAATCCTCCAGGTATTGATAAGCTGAAAGATAAATCAGAAAGAAAGTGGCAGCAACTGACCGAGAAATACATGTGATAGCTTCAAAATGTTTTGTTTTATTCTTAACACGCTAAAAATGGAAGTCTTCGTAAAGGTTATATAGGAGTTGGACAAAGTGAGATTATAATGATTAAGAACGATTTTGTGTAGAGATGTCTTATTAAATCTACCTAAGATGCGTAGTAATAGCCATCGGTTCATAACTTGACTTGTAGGTAGTAGAAAGATAACCGAAAGAACAAACGTATACCGTGGAGAAGAAGACTTTCAACCAGTAATAATAGTGTTATTATTTATTATTATTAGCTTTATTCAATATTATATTATTTGTTACAAAATCAAATTCTCAGCATAAAGTATTTCAACGTGTTTACGTTTCTTATTTCTTCGTCTATCCTGACGATAAATATTCAGTGATCGCCAGTTGGATGTCAGCAGTTCAATCAATCGACATATGAAAAATGTATATTCTTTTTGCTGCATGTTCCCAGCAAACACGATATCTCTGATTAGGCCTTTTGTAACCTTTACAGCGAAAGGTTGTACAGTTTTTAGAAACTCACCTGAATAGGTTGTGTGCCTAATAGCCATAATGATGTATTGAAACAAACAATATTAGATAACTTGTTGAAATATATAAATGACAGGAACAGGTAGCCCAGATGTTTAAGCAGGCCGCCCTGTTCCAGTTAGTTTGGCAAGTTTGACACGGTTTGTTAATTTAGAGAGGGACTTTCTAGACCTCATTACTACTTAACTGTGATGGGGTTCGGTAAAACTACTAATGCATATAAATGGTTATCAAAAGTTTTTTACCGTGAAAATAGTGATAGTTGTGGGCATTTTGGACAGATAGCTAATAACAATTCGTTAAATATGAGTGTATTCGTGAGAGACATGATCTAGACTCGATATTATTTCTATTCATACCTACTGGCTGATGGTGCATACAAGTTAGTTGCAAAAATCGAGTTTTGCATAAGCTGGAAAACGACTTATTACAAATATAGTGATTAAGAGATGTTGAACTCAACTAAGCCTATGTGCCGCATTTATAGGTGATATGATGTTGTAAGATGTCTTCGGCTAAATAAGTCTTTACAAAATGATTAACAGTGGGTGATGCTCGTGTGATTATCAGAGGGAACATAAGTTGTAACCAAGAGGAGTACAACTCCAAATTCATGTCTATGATAATAATAATAATAATTTATTCTCAAATAACAGATTGTTACATGAGGCATGCCGTTTTACAGGCAAGATCAAATTGTTAAAGAAGTTACAATTTTCACTGTTGAAAATTACTCAGCTGGGTTGATATTTTATAAGATATGAATAGCTCGAACCCTAGTCGGTATCAGGGTAAATTCGACATTGATATTTTCAATTTCCAGGAGATTTGCACAACGGCTTATGCTGATGATTCACAACATGATTGTGTCTCTAAACCTCCAATTAGATTGACAAT